TTTGACCTGGAGGTCTCGGTGCCCACACTTCCTCCGGGACCTCCAATTCAAGCCTGGGCAGCGGACGGCCGGCTCGTAGTCCCGCCGCACCTTCCGCGGCACGAGGACCTACTTCACAGAGATAAGCAGGGGTGTGAGAGGCTCTCGTCCCTCGGCTGAAGGACGAGGAATGGTACCCAGATGCTGGTGACCCTCCAACTGTGCGACGTGCCTTTCCACAGGCAGGGTAGAATCGGGTAGAACTAGGTTGCGTCAATGCTGCTGAAAGATCCCCTCCAAAGCTATGGCAGGTCAAGCGCCGCAACCTGCTCCTTGACACCAAGGACTCGGCTTCCTGAGCACAGCCCTTTTTTGATTATAAGACTAGTAATATTAAAAAATATTAGTAGTGCAGATAATAATATGAGTATTAGTAGTCATATTTCATATTTCATATTTCATATTTCATATTTCATATTTCATATTTCATATTTCATATTTCATATTTCATCTTTCATCTTTCATCTTTCATCTTTCATCTTTCATCTTTCATCTTTCATCTTTCATATTTCATATTTCATATTTCTACTCATAGTAACAATATTAATAATTGAAATTTGCGCTCCAGGCCTTGAAAAGTTTCCTGACGTTCGGGCGGATGTACGAGGCTGTCTACCAGTGGCAACTGCAGACAGGCACGAGCGTACGCGGGTATACGCGGGCAGAGCTCCCCATATCCCCCGGCGAGTTTCAAACTCTCGGAGGCTGGATGGGTGGCTCCCTCCGTTGAGGGGCCCGCGCCTGAGCTGCTCCGTGTGGGTGCTCTGGCTGCTAAGCGCTTTGTAGGGTTCAACGTGTGAGCCTATGCGACCAGTGCAGTGGGTGGTGCAAGCACCCGCCCTCGACTCCATGACTTGCCTAGTAGGCTCTGGGTTGGTATCCCTGGGCTCGCATAGGATGCACCGGTTCGGATGGTGTTCACAGGTTCACGAGTTCTGGCGATGTTCCACTTTTTTCTTTTTCTGCCTAGATGCGCAGAGAAATCTCAGATGGCTGCGCAAAACATCGCGCGGCCAGTCGACCAGTGTATACATGCAAAGTCATGGAAACTATCGAGTTCATCTGTTCGCGTGTCGGACTGTGTACCCCGCTACATCAATGAAGCTGCTTCAGTTAATCGTTTTCGCGTTGCACATGAAAGCTGGATGCGCGAGAGTCGCTTTCCATGCTTCTTTAGGTGCACAGAGACATCTCGAATGGCTGCGCAAAACATCGCGCGGCCAGACAACAGTTATGCACATGCAAAGCATGGAAGCGAACTCAGCTGCTTTAGTTGGTCGTATGCCGGACTGTACTACTGTGCCACATCACAGCAGCAGGCAGGAAAACGATTCGAGCTGCGCATGAATGAAAGCCGGATGCACGTGAGTTCGCTTTCCATGTTTCTTTCAATGCACAGAGACATCTCGGATGGCCGCGCAAAACATCGCGCGGCCAGTCAGCCGTCAAGCAGTACTTACATGCAAAGCCGTGGCTGCTTCAGTTGAAGGTGTGTCAGCTTGTGCTGCCGTATTACGTCATGGCGACAGGCAGCAAAATGATCCGCGTTGTGGAAGCTGAATGAATGAATGAATGAATGAATGAATGAATGAATGAATGTTCGTGTTCCATGTCTCTCTAGATGCGGCTTCGCTGCGAAGAGACATCTCGGATGGCAGTGCAAAGCCCTGAACCCTGAACAACCTGAGTCAGCCTAAAACCCCCAGTTCATTGCCACGCAACAGGCAGCTTTGGGCTTACAGAGGTGCATCTAAGAGTGGCGCAGTCTGCAAGCATGCAGAGTCGCAGAGTGTTACACCTGCGCAGATTGCTTTGATGTAGGTATTTGTGTGTGTGTGTGTATGTGTGTGTGTGTGTGTTTGTTTTTGTGTTGCTTACCTTGTGGGGTTGCCGGGAGACAGTCGAGCTGCCTGACGCTTTGAGAACTATGCCGGGCCGGACTTTAGATTCGCAGTTGGAGCTGCCAGGCCTCTACACATGCGTTTTGGGTTGCCTTATGAGCCTCAGACTTGCATGATTGTTTGTGATGTTTTCGGGCCCGACTGTACTCGTAAATGTGGTTGGCTCGGCTTGCTTCGTTCTGTCTACAATGCATCTTGTTTTGTGGATCTTTCAACAGTTGCTGCTTGAACGTGTTCGTTGAGCAATTCCGTGTGTAGAAGCTGGATGTAGCACCTGTCAAGCTCAAAGTCTAAAGTTTCAGCCGTTTGTGCAACGTTTTCGGCTTTGCCAGGTGCTCTGGGTTCAGGACGTGCAGATACTTGCAAGTCTGGGACGTTGGGTTAAACAATGCATTTTTGATCAGGGCTCTCGCACATGTAGTTGCAACGTGCTGTTCGTCCTCTGAAGCTGATGAGTGAAGATCAAGCATGATAATCCTGACGGACCCGTAGAAGGACTGTGGAGATTAAGGTGCCTAACTCCGCGCTGAACTCTCGCCATGAGTCGTGACCCGCAGGCAAAATTCCCCTTCCCTTGTCTCACACTGCCGGAAGTGGCTTGTTTGGCAGGGTTTAGGGCTCTTAGGGTCTCATTTGCACGCAACTGTCTGCAGGGGCGTTGGAAGGTCCATTAGGTTCATGCCTATGGTGAGATACAGCCGGAGAAAGGATGCTGTAGCCGCTGTAGCCGCATGCACGTCCAACTTGATAGTCCTATGTGGCTCGAGACGACATGGTCAGACAATCACGGCAGAGTTACGACAGACCGAGTTGGCAGCCCGAAGTACAAGAAATACATCCGCTTAGACTTGTGCTTTTGGGCCGGTGCCGGGACGTTTGCGTGCTGTCGAGGCAAGCAACATCAAGCAACCAGTGCTTTGCCGTTTGCTGATCGCGTCGTGTACTGTAACGACACATACCTGGTGTTTGGCCAGCACAGCTAATAATCCCCTGGAAATCCGTTGAGCATTCTTTCGCGAGGCAGATGGGTCCATCAAGTGGCATCAGGTGGGCCGTAGGGCACTCGTTATGAGACGCGGGCGTTTCTTTTTGCGCTGCGTACCGGGAATGAATGCTTCAGCCATATCCAGTCTGCCGATGGCTCAGTGAAGTGTGGAGCTGACAAGACCAAGCCCGACACGTTAGTGTCAGCGCAGGAAAGTGTAGGATTGGCGGAGGCAGTGGGAGGTGAACTGATGAGGCCGCTAAAGTAGACAAGCGCGGCATGCTTTTGGCCGCAAGGGTTTCAGAGTTTAGAGTTGCCCGATGCACATACACCAGACAACATCTATCACCCCCGCTGATTGGCCGTTCTACACATGTATCTGGCGGGTGTGTTTCATATTTCCTGACCTCTTACTTCTTTTGAAATTGTCTGTCCCACTTGTTGCCGGCTGCCATGCTCCTGAAATGCCTGGCGCTGGCCGTGTTTTTGCCAGGCCTGGCCTCAGATGCACATTACATGGGCGCCCTTGTCAGACTCATGCTGCGCCTGCTGCTGCCTGTACTTGTCAGGTGCCTGGCCCAAGGCGGGAACACATGCACCAGCTGAATTGCCACCCTCACGCAGTCACCGCACGGAGCGAGATTCCACCTGCAAGATGAGGAGCTCCCGTCATTTCCTCTACGGACAAGTGGGCGTGGCAGCCCTTGTTGTTGCGTGGTGGCTCTGTAGCGCAATTGGTTGCACGCAGCTCGACCAAGTCAGGCTACGTGGTTGATGCACAAGGCCGCCGTGTGCGGCTTCATTGCGTGAACTGGCCAGGGTCTAGGTCAAGCCTTACTGTAGACAAAGCTCATGTTCTGAGTGTCCAGTTGCCTTGAGCCATCTTAATCCCTAAGGTACGGTGCGCATCTGAAGCAGTTGGCAGCCAACGGGCTGAACCGTCAGCCAGCAGGCGGCTTGCGCCTTGCTGAACTCAGAGGACTCGCGCCTTAAGCACGAGCGCTCTGCCAGGAGAGATAGCGCGTACGATCGCATCCTCAGGTTTCAATTGCCTGCAGCCTACGATTCATGCTCCAACACAAGCTCAAGATGTGAAGTGGCCTGACACTTCAAGGTGTTCGGCTTCCGTTTAGTTTGGACGGCGTCCTTGGCAATGTTTCCCGAGTTCCCGACCCCGAGGCGCGGAGAATTGGAAATCGTAGGAAAGGAGGAGCTGGGATGTCCTGTGAGGCGTCCCTGGCCGCGAACCCCGCGCTCAAGGACCACAAGCCCCGTAGCGCGAAGTGCATATTTAGTTTCGATGCCATGCAAAAGCACCGATGTCTACATCTCGAGGACCTTACCCCTTTGGAGGCACGGCCCAGCACATAGCCGTGTTGCGCAATCCTTCTGAGATTCTGGAAAGCCCTTGCTGAAGCGCCACTTACTTGTCGTATGCCCACACTCTGCTAAGTTACTAGCAAGTTCAGTGAGGCACATGTCCAAGACTGCCTTGACCATGTCATTGCGAGCCATTGTTCAGCGGTCTCCGGTGTACTGTGCTTGTGGTCGAATCTGGCTAACTGGTAGCCGGGAAGAATCCTGTGTGGGGGCAAGGGGTTCACCACCATCGCCATGATCCTTTCGTTGAAAAAGCTGCCTGACCTTGTGGGCATGTACACAAGTAGTGAGGCAGTAAGGGTGCATGGTTTGGGCTAGGTCGCTCCCGCATCCGGCCGCTCCACCTTCCTCGAATGTCTAGATTGGATGGTGTAGCAAAGTGAACCCTAAACCCTAAACCCTAAACTGCCCTGCATCCAGTCGAAGAGAGTGGCGTTCTTCAGCAGCAGTCCTCTTGGGGCCACGCTTGTTCGTCATCACATCACCCGATTGTCGGGGGGTTTACGAAAATAAGGGACCCCGAATACAGACCCCAAATAGTAGGATTCCCTTATAGTTAGGTACCGCAAAAAAGCTACCCCCTGTTTTCCGAAAGCCCCCCATATGATGGGTTTCCATCGTCAGTATAAGCATCCCTGACTTCCTTTGACCAGCTCTTCGATGTGACGGTGCAAGAGTTGACCGCCAGCGGGCTTATGGTGGCTCTGGCTGCACTGGGCCCTTTGCGAATCCTACTCTGCCACTTCTTACCTGCGGATGCAGAGGTCATTTTGAACAACCATGTCTCGACCAGCATGTGGCTCCGTGCTCGGCTTGTTTGGCTACCTGCCTTCTGCCCTGACGTGGTTGCTGCTTGCATTGATGTCATGTGGGCGGCGCGTGAAAAGAGGTGCTGCAGCACCACGGACAAAGAGGGCTTGTGGTACACTGCAGCCTATCCGGAGTCAGAATGGTTGCGTGCACTCGGTGGGATCCTGAGCATCTGAAGCTGTTCGCAACACTCTCGACCCACGAGACGTGCTGCTTGATGTCTGCTGTGGTATGACATGCGCTTTTTCTACTCAGGCCTAATGGCCTCGCGCTACAAGGACAACCCACTTGCTCCAGCCTTGGAGCGCAGTTACCGAGTGATTCTCACTGTTTGGTGCTTTTTGAGGTTGTGGGCTTTGACCTTCGCAACGAGATCCGGCCATCAGGCCAGGCTGTCCACGAGGTGTGAGGTGAGGCACCCGCTCTCCAATGCGCTGGCGTAGATGCCTAAGAAAATAAACCTGTCCCAGGCATTGTTTGGCCTGGGTGGCACACCAAAAACAACCTAACCGATTGGCCCAGCCCTCAAATGGCTGATGGAGTGTAACTATTATTCCTATGATTATTATCATGATGATTTTGTTTTTATTACTATTATCAATATTTTTTGCCATACGATCATTATGAGAGGATTGCAGTTGGAAGACCGCCCCCTCGGCTTCTTGAGGGCGGCAGCTTCGGTGAGAGGCGCCCATCGTGTGCTGAACGCAAGTGTGCTGGCCTTGTTGTCTGGGAATTCGCTCAGAGACCTGGCCTTTCTGAGCCCTGTTGGGCCCTAGCAGCCCAGGACAACATGCTGATCATCATCTCGGGTGTGTATTTTAGCCTTTTTCTGTGCCAGGCAAGTCTGCCACGCTTTGTAGGTGCAACTTTAAAGTTCTGTGCTGCTCAGAACAGGTTCCCACCTACCCAGTTCACTCAGAGGCTGGACATTCTGAACATGTTTCTTTGCGTCCGCGCTGCTCCTGAACTCGCCGAAGGTTCCCTTCTTAGCGGGCCGTGTTGTCTACACAGCCCATGAGTGACCTCCTCAAGCATTGAAGTTGCGGACTTTGCGCAGAGCACGTGCACCGCGCACCCTAAACCCTAAACCCTAAACCCCAAACCCCAAACCCCAAACCCGAAGCCCTGAACGATGCTGCGACCACTCCAGGTACAATTGGTTTAACTTCCATTTCCTTGCCAGGGAGATTATCCAGTGCCAGCCACAGAGCAGGGTTTGGGGCTTAGGGTTTAGGGTTTAGGGTTTAGGGTTTAGGATTTAGGGTTTAGGGTTTAGGGTTTAGGCTATTAGGGTTCCCAGATCTGCACATGCTTTTTGATGCGTTGTGAGTATCAGGATCTACTGCATGGTGGTTGCAGTCACGTTCTTGATGTGCTGGTGGGATGCTTACAAGCTTTTGTGCCGCAAGACATTGTCTTGCCCGAAGTTTGCCATGGCCACGTAGTGGCCGTGTTCTCTGAGAGGTTCCTCACCCTCCTTGTTCGACGTGCGCGTGGCTTTGCTCGAAGTCTATGCTATGCGGAAGTGGAGTGGGCACAGAACGGTTCTGTGGCCCTAGGTAGTAGCAGTACCGCAGAGAATGTGTGTTGGGTCAGGTCTTCGGGGCTCAGATTCTTAACTACAAAGTGGTTGGTAAGTTGTGTATGTTGCTGCTGTTTGCCTTCGGGGGGAGCTCAGAAGATTCTTAGGACACTCTCGACTGGGATTTGAACTAGCAACCTAAGGCCTTGGGGAGGACGCGGTAGCCACTAGCCCAGAGCAAACCTTTCACACGTAGCACTACTGTAGGATTCTGCAGAACCCCGTGATTCCAAAGTTCCAGGTTTCCAGCTTTGCAACTGAAGCCTAGGGTTCTGCATGGTTCTGCAAGCTAAGAATCTGAGGGCTGAGATTCTTAGTTTGCTCCACAAGCACACCGACTCAAGAACGTGCCCTCCAGATGTCAGAGGGAGGGGGGGGGGGGGGGGCGCTCAAATAAAGTCTCAAGTTCAATTAGTCTGAAGTAAAGGAACTATGATTGCCATTGTGATGCGTCTTGCTATCATTATTAGTACTATCGTGATAAGTATCGTTTCTCAGTCGTTTTGTGAGATTCTTCTTCTTCTATGACTACTATTTTTCTTATTTCGAATTCTTCTTTTTTCGCCCTCAACCCTCAACCCTCAACCCTCAACCCTCAACCCTCAACCCTAAACCCTAAACCCTAAACCCTAAACCCTAAACCCTAAACCCTAAACCCTAAACCCTAAACCCTAAACCCTAAACCCTAAACCCTAAACCCTAAACCCTAAACCCTAAAAACCCTAAACCTAACCACCCTAAACCCTAAACCCTAAACCCTAAACCCTAAACCCTAAACCCTAAACCCTAAACCCTAAACCCTAAACCCTAAACCCTAAACCCTAAACCCTAAACCCTAAACCCTACACGAAGGTGGAAGGCCGGGACCGGCTACGCAGCGGCTCCTCGGCTGCTTCTACCTCCTCGCGGGATGCGTGCGATGCCAGCGCTGCCGCTGTCGGGCTGGCGCTCGCGCTGAAGAAGCTTCGATCATCGAATTGGTTTAGGGTTTAGGGTTTAGGGTTTCGGTTTTAGGGTTTAAGGTGTAGGGCTGCTATGCTCAGATAATCTGATGGCTTGGGAGGCAAGCGTTTTCAAACAATGTCCACGCCGGTTCTCTCAGCTTCTGCTCTTTTCCTGCTGCCAAGGACCGCCAGCAAAATGGGCCCAGATGCGGCTTGGAGTTCACGGCAGCAGCGCTTCTAACAGCATTGTGTGCCCTTTGCCTTAAAATCTTTCCAGCCTTTGTGCAAACCTGCGCATTTGATGGGTTTTTGGCAGCCACTCTGTGTGCGGTTTTCGCACCAACTTTAGCTGTGGTGAGCCTGGTCCTTTGGATCAGAGCTGTGTTCCTCGCTTTTATGCAGCACCTGGAGCCAGCTGACTTGCGAATGCCACGGCCAAACTCGCGCACGTTGCCTTTGTCACCTTTGTCAGGGCATGAGGAGACAGGGCCTTCTGAGCCACGGAGCCAGCTCAGTTGCGCATGGCACGTGAAGCAGTGTCGGTCACTGGGCTGCTTGTGCCTCCTCACGGCCTGCGTGGCATTCTTTGGTCTGGCAGTGGTCTGGGTGGAGTTTGGTTCCTACGAGGCCTTCGAGAGGGAGCTCAACTTTAAGTGGGGCTTCCTGTTATCCGCAGGCAACGCGGCTCCCGTCTGGCTCGGTGAATTTGGAACCAACACCCAATCTCTCTGGTGGAAGCATATGCTCGCTTATTTGCAGAAGCACGATTTGGACTTTGCATACTGGAGTGTCAATGGAGAGAAGTCAAATGGTCAACCTGAGTTTCCTCGCATAGGAATTCATTCATCTTCTTTTTTACGCTGTTTCCTCGGGATACTTCCTTATGTGCCTGCATTGACTTTGTTAGTTTGCTTGTTATCTTGTTCCTGAAGGACTTTCATTCTTACCGCAGGCACTCCACTCACAGGCTCACAAAACTTATCCGAGGTCCTTTGGACTCTTCATGGAAAACTTCGTCGACCTGCGGCAGCCCTGGAAGATTCAGCAGCTGCAGGCCGTTATGAATGCCACGCGGGCTGGCTCAGAGCGCGAGTGGAGCGTCTCCATGATCTAGTGCTTCCTGCGCGCGCCTGGGGATTGCCCGGGGGGTATCGCAGATCTGTCTTTGTACTGTAAATAGCAGAAAGCTCAACGAAAACTTCGCAGGCTTTCTGTTCAGCGCTCCAGAAGATGGTCCCCTGCCCTTACCTTCCGAGTATTCTGAAAGACGAGCTTCTTTGTTCTACTTGCTACTGCAGCCACTAGCCCTAAATCCTAAATTCCCAGCACGCACGGCATGCGTTGGACTCATTTTGTGTGTATTTCCACGTGCCCAGGGTCAGCTTCGGGGGCTCTTTGTACATACTTGTCTGCTGCTTGAGGAGCAGCCTGGCAAAGGATCGAGTTTCAGAGTTCCAAAAAGGGTTCAGCTTTGCTTGCGGCCCTGCGCAGGCCAGACTTGTGAGGTTTCTGGAAGATGGCTCGAAACCAGCACTCTACATGCTTTGAGGTGCGTTCATCCTGCAACCCCCTGCCCGGAAAGGTCATGGTGTTATCATGCGTTATGAAGCCTTTGGTGCTGTGATTCATAGCACGACCGTGCAAGAGCGCCCGGTGAGTTCGACCAGACACAGCCCGACAGTACAGACAGGCAGAGGTACAGTTAAGCTTCTGTCGTGAAAACCTGATTCTTGATGCCTCGCCGCGCGAGCTATGATGCCTTATGCTTGGCGAGCCCCCCAAGCGTCCGGATGATGAGGAATCAGAATCACAAAAGTGTCCTTCCGGAAGTCTCTGCGTCTTTGTCAGACTTGAGGTTACATTTGACTTACACTTATGTGGAAGCGCTTGTGTCGGATGCTTATCAGGAGCCGATTCGTCCTGGGCGCAACTGTGCTGCCACGTGGCTAGGTGATAAGCAGCTGCGTATGCAAACTCCTGTGGGCCGCGCATCTGCGAGGTTGTTGCACCTGGGAATCGGTGCGGCGATGGTGGATGAGTCAGGTATCCTTCTGCTGCTATCAGTCATCATATGCGAGAACGTGCCGAGAAAAATGGAGCTTGCCAGCTGTGACCGCTGCAGGTCGTTACCATGCTGGATCGGGAATGCCAGATCTGCTGCCACCAGACTCTCAGTCCGGAGCTGGCACACGCTGATGTATCATAGAACAATAATAGTTATCGTCTAATGGTGTAGAAAGTTGTAGTTCTAGCATATGATATGCTCATATTTCAATTTTTATACTGTGGAGAACATGCTGAGTGGGAATCTGTGGTCGGGGAATGCACTATATCCCCCGTGGGAATTATTTTTACTGTTTGTATATATCAAACCCAAGAGGAGCTCAAACATTTTAATTTTTCCGCTCAGAAGCTCAGGAGCCATCCGACACAGACAGAGCCGCCTCCATCGACCTGTCCAAGCAGCCAGCAGCAAGATTGCAGAGGAGCGTTGGCCCGAAACCCTAAGCCAACCCGAAATCCTAAACCCTAAACCCTAAACCCTAAACCCTAAACCCTAAACCCTGTCAATTTGAGTCATGGCTCTCCCGCCTCCAAGGTTGAGAAGATCTTTCGGCTTCTTTACTATGAGCTCTACAAGCTGGACCGACGTGCTCGGGCAGTTGGTGCATTCGTTTTTGAATACATTAAGATGACACCCCCCAAACCATGTTTTAATTCTTAAGGCCCTCACCAGTGTCATGACATTGCAATCTATATCTACAGTCTAGAGGTCTGATTCTTCTTCTTAAACATGCAAAAGGTCGAATTTAGTTAAAGGTCCACATGGGCGCACTTGCTCAGCTTCCCAGATCCGTGGAGAGGACAAGCAGCCGCCAGAGCGAAGACTGCACATACATGAGTTCAACATGGCCAAGGCCAGGGTGAGTGGTTGTGTTTTGGTGCAGACGAATCCCCTCTATTGTAGTATATGGGAGTATATTCATATTCGGGGGTAAGGGGGGGGGGGGGGGGGAGAGGGTGTAAAGATGTTAGGGGGACGGGATTGTGATGACTATGGCTACTCCACTCGCGCTTGGCATCTCGTTGCACACTTCGACTTGCCAGGAGCTGGACTGTCCTCAGCGCCTGATGGCCATGTCCCAGGACATCCCTGGGATTGCCAGCTCTTTTCGTAAGTGGCCTTCTAAGCTTCCTGGTTTGCGAATGCCTCTTCTACACGGCAGAGGATAAGACCCAGTGCATTATGATTGGGGGTGCGCGTGCCCCTCTGGCGACAGGGTGCACATCTCGGTTCCTTTGCCAGGAGTCCAAAGATCTGGCAGAAGACATCAACAAGTTGCACTTGAACGTCACAGGCAGTCATGGAGACTGAACATGACAAAGACCGCAAGTGATAAGACTGAGCAAGCGTTTCAACAGGATGGCTTATGCTTGAGAGGCACTTCTGGTTTGTACTGGACCCTGCACAAGTATCCCGAGGAGCGTCGCAGAGTCGGAGAGGGAGAGTGATAGGATGCTCTGTGAGCTGTCCAGGAGCACAGCTGGGCGTGGCTACTGAGCCAAACTCAGGACCGCGCCTTGCGGAAGGCGAGAGGTAGCTGTGTTGGGTTGCCAGACAGGGAAATGCCCCCAGGAAAAAAAAAAACCATGCCATGTGGCCGCATCGGAGGTCTGGCAGTACTTTGTTCGATTGCAGACCCTTGCCGCCTCCAGCCCATTTGCCTTGAGGGATGCTGGTTTTGCCTCTCCATCATTTTTGGACGTGTGATGGGAAACTCTTAGGTTCCCGACAGGGAGCACTGCATCTCTGCCGCCATGCGGACGGTTCTCATGAATGCGGCAGCGACGTGGAAGCGGCTGCTCAGACACTGCCTCAGCTGCAATGGTAAGATGTTCCAAAACCACAAGACGTCCCAGCGCTTGCCAGGTGATCACGTTGCACTCCTGTGGAATAGCGTCGCGTTTGGAATACTCGGTGATGTCGCTCTGCTTGCAGAACGCAGGAGGGTTTCAGATAATTTTTTTCGTTGTATTCACGATATTCCTTACTGAATTTTCACCACAACATGCTCAGCAATAGTGTCATTCCTTTTTGGTATCTAGTCATAAAAAAAACCCTAAACCGTACACCCTATGAACCCTATAAACCCTATAAACCCTAAAACCTTAACCCCAAACCCTAAACCCTAAACCCTGAACCTCGGCTAAGCCCTAAGCTCCAAACTCTACCACCCTTGAGCCTTCGAAGTTGATCATGGAGTTGCACCCAAGGTCACTTCTTGGCGAGACATTGATGAGGAGGGCCAGGCTGCGACCTCGGTTTAGGGTTTAGGGTTTAGGGTTTAGGGTTTAGGGTTTAGGGTTTAGGGTTTAGGGTTTAGGGTTTAGGGTTTAGGGTTTAGGGTTTAGGGTTTAGGGTTTAGGGTTTATAGGGATGTTCCACCTTGGGGTACTATAGTTCCTATTGAGGACTGTTAGTATGAGGTGGGGGGAACATCCCATCGCAAAATCGCAGACGTCATGGCATCTCTCTCTCAGAGGTGTGTTCTGGTCACTCCTCTAAGTTATGGTCCCTGTTGGGGGTTACCAGGCGGCCCCTAATACTTCGGGTACCCAAAAAGGGACCATCATTTTGAGAACTGACCTTTGCTAGGGAAGGACTGTCCAAACGCGGTTAGTGCTACAGCTGCTTCGCGTAGTCTGTGCACATGCAATGACATGAAGTTGGCCTTCATTCAAAAAGAAAAGCCTCTGAAAAGAGAAGTGCCGTAGCAGGCGACCATGACGAGCTGGTGTAGTTATCTAGGTTTCGCTGAAATTCTCCGTATCTGCTGCAGGCTGCAAATGAGCCGGGTGGCCCCCCTCCCAATGTCAGCTGGTGGGCAGTCTCAGTCACGTTATGTTAAAGACTCATGCTGTTGTTCTTTCCTGCCTCGCATGCTGAACAGGTCCGAAAATCTCATCTTTGGCAACATGTTCGTTTCTTCAGTTCAGAAGTTCATGGAGTTCCATTCGTCGGAGGCCGAGATGATACACAATGTGCATTAGGGTTTAGGGTTTAGGGTTCAGGGTTGGTTTGCCATTGAGCAGCCAAGGAAGGAAGTGGCGGGGCAAGCGCAGCAGGAGTTCGTGCTTGTTCGACGAGCAGAGGAAATGGGCTTGCGCTATGTCCATGCCTCAGTTTATGGGGTTCATGGGGATCTTAAGGGAGGGGGGGTCAAGGCGGGTGTGTAACCCAAGGTTTCTTGATTCTCCCGAATACTCCCTACGGCTCCCGAAGCTTCCCCAAGGTTTGCTAGGTACCTGCCCCCCCATGCACCCCCCTCCCTTAAGAACCTAATCGGTGCAGTCGCTCGCTCCGGAACACAACTTGAAAGCATGGGGTTTGGGGGGCAGCGGGGGAGAGTTGCTCTTGTCGAGGATTTCAGTGTGGGACAAGAACATCGACACAGCAAAGACGGTGCTCTGCTTGGTCTCTTCTGTAGGAGCTACCACGGGTTTCATATGAGCCTTCGACTGCATGGCATTGCAAGGCATACTCTCCTCCTTCGAATACCTCCGCCGTCAGATCTTTAATGGGTGGCACACAGACAAGGCTCGCGATGTCGGGCGATGGAGTCGCGTGCTACATGGTCAGCGTTACGGTCCCCTTCTGGGTACCCTAAATATTCGGCGCCGCCTTATAGTAGCAACCCCAAAATGGGACCATAATGTTGAGAAGTTACCACATGTTTGTTGACTGAGTTTTTCCGCCGGTCCGCAGTGCAGGGCCTCCTACGCGGACTTCTGAGACATTGCCTGAAGCCACGCTATGGTGCCCAGCAACCGGTGGACTCCACGCAGTCTTGCATGCGCCTGGCGAGCAGGTACCGCTCCCCCTGTGTCTCTGGGTGACTTCGGGGCAGGGGGCGGGCCGGGGTCCGTGGTTTTCTTTTTATTGGTGGCAACTGAAAGATTTGAAGCAAGTGAGGGTAGTGGCACCAAGGCAATACAGTACCTGGCTCAACGACACGGGTCTAGTCGAGGCAGCTTGCATGCAGTGATATGCAGTGAAGTGCGGACTTGCTTTTTACTCGACGAAGATGGGATGTGCTTGAAGTCCCGGAATTCCACAAATCTGACGAGCAGAGGAGGTTTCGTAACTTAGCTTAGCGCCCCCGTCGCAGTGCTTGCAGGCTGTCGCCTTTGATGCCACGGAAGCTGTCTCAGACATTACCGGCGGTTCGGTTTCACAGGCTGGGGTTTAGGTCTCTATCGTCCTGTGCAGCCCTGCGCAGCCCCTCTTGCAACATTCACTGTTGGCCTCGGCCTTCTCTTGGCGCTAAAGTCAGTTCTTTGAATTAGGGGTCTTTTTAAAAGGGAGGGGCCGCCGTATAATAAGAACCCCAAAAGGGACGATATTTAAGAGAACTGACCACATGGTGCGATGCATTGGCTCAAAGCATCTTGTGTTCTGTCACGCAGGTGGACTTAGCGGACGCGTCCTTGAACTTGGCACGGCGGTTCGAAGCTTCTCAGCATGTCAGACCCCAGAGAATCGGCGGTGACTTGTTTTCAGTTTGGCTTTGACTCCTTTTAATTAATCCCTTCCCCCTAACATCAACCGGCAGGAGGGTATTCATGTTAATGTTGTCTGCTGATTAGTGTGACCTCGGACCCCCCCCCCCCCCCCCTCAACGAATGAATCCCGCGCTTTAGTGTGGGGGGGGGGGGGGGGGGGGGGGTGGGGGGGGGGGGGGGGGGGGGGGGGGGGGGGGGGGTGGGGGGGGGGGGGGGGGGGGGGGCAATTTGGGGGGGGGGGGGGGGTCTGGCTTTATATGATTTTAAAAGGGATGAGTTTATATGAATTTCACGGGGATCCATATGATTTTAAAAGGGATGAGCTCGGAATTTAAAAAGGATCCATATGATTTTAAAAGGGGTGAGACTGTATGAAATTAAAAGGGATCCATACGCTTTTAAGAGGGATGAGTTTATATGAATTTAAAAGGGATTATATATGATGTTAAAAGGGATCCACATGATTTTGAAAGGGATGAGTCTATATGAATTTAAAGGGGATCCATCTATCCCAACCAAGCCAGCCCGCAAAAAATAAGATAATTCCGGTGGAGCAAACTTTTTATATTATACGGCATTCGGGCAGCTGCTGGACTACCCTTTGAAATTTGATTGCCTGGCCTCGGCACAAAAGCATTTTATGCGGAAATCTTAGCTTTGGGGCTGGCCTGGAGACTGAAGATTTCAGGGCCCGACAACCTCAGGCCTCAAGGTTTAGGAAGCCTCAGCCCTTAGGCCTCTGGATCCAATCCCAACTAGCCCGCAAAAAATATATAATTCCGGGGGAGCAAACTTTTTATATTATATGGCATTCGGGCAGCTGCTGGGCCACCCCCTTTGAAATTTGATTGCCCGGCCTCGGTACAAGAGAATTTAATAAGGAAATCTTAGTTTTGGGGCTGGCCTGGAGACTGAAGATTTCAGGGCCTGACAACCTCAGGCTCAGTTCAGAAGCGATTTCTAAACAACAACACCATTCAACAGCCTCGCCGAAATTTTGCATCGCCCGTTTTTTTTTTCACAATTTTGGGGGTCCTCCTCAAATAGATCTCTCTGAATAGTTTTTGGGTTGTTTTTTCACAATTCCGGGGGCCCACAATCAGGATACAACATTAGCGGGAAGGGGTTACATCATATCATCTGTTCTTTTTCCGACAGCTAGCAGACCGAGGACTGGATCCTCTGCCTTGATGTAGCATCCTCGCTTCCAAAAGAGAAGGCCACCACCACTCTGCGCCGTTCTTTTGGGAATTTCTGTTGCTTTTAGGGTTTAGGGTTTAGGGTTTGGGGCTTGGGGTTTAGGGTTTAGGGTTTAGGGTCTAGGGTTGGGAGGTTGCATTGCTGCTGCAGACCATTGGGCGGCCTGGCCCTCGTTGTCCCTGCAGCTCTTGGATCGTGTCTGGTCATGTCGGCAGCCCTTTTCCAGGCACTTAAAGCAACCAGGCGGCCTGGTCCTGTCATGGGTTCAAAGCTCAGCGCTGTCACTTCCAAAGCCACATGCCATCTGCGACGAGCTGCGTGTTTCAGGGACCAGGAGGAGGCGATGACAAGAACACTCAGAAGGAACAGGACCGCAGGTAGAGAAGCCTCCTTGTAATGTCAACAGCCGCTTTCTTGCAAGGATCTCCTGCGGCTGGTGGAGAGGGAGGCTTCGGCGGCCGCTGGGTTGTTGTTGGAAAACCGGGTCGGTCTCAGCGCAGGCACACCTCACCCTCGACCCAGAGGCCACAAGAAACGTGAGGTCTGGGTGCGAAATGCCGCGCCCTCATGGTAAAAAGCGTCTCCCTTCGCGCCTTGGCAGCTTTGTCTGTCTGTGACTCCAGTGAGGCAGAGCTTCAAGTCCGACCTCATGGTATTCCGCGTCCCACGCCTAGCTGCCGTACCCTAAACCCCAAAAACCAACTTCCTTTAATTTTCAACTTCGAGTCTGCTGCGCCACTTTGCCTGCATGCCCAAGGCTTGAAACTCCCACATCCGCGTTCTGTGCAACTCACTGAGGCGTCAAGACCTGACGGACCTGACGTGTCCATGATGCTTCATCGTTGCATAAGTCAAGCCAGGACCGTCGTCATTGGTGCGGAACTCCGGAGAGACCCAAGCCATCCGAAGGTTGGGCATCTCCGCAAGACTCTTCTGTTAAGCAGTTCTTATCATAGGGGGGTTACGATTACAAGGAGGACTCCTAATTTCGGTACTCCTAATGTCGTAAACCCCCATATCGAGGGTTGCCCCATGGTGCGTGGAGGCCGGCGAAGATCCATACCGAGATCACCGCGAGCTCACGCCATGCTTGCGACATGGAACGGCTTTGTTGGGGAAGACGCAGACCATCGCGCATGACAGCGACCATCGGCTTGTTAAAGAATGGTGAGCAGAAGAGCTGAAGACGGCGTTTGCACACTGTTGCTTCTCTTTGCTTGTGCTGCTTGCCAGGCTCGACCCCACTGGCTCAAGAAGACCTTTGTTCCAGTACTGTCCTGCATCATCCTTTCGTTTGAGCGGCGGCGGCATTCGACGCGGCTAGCGGCATGTCTCAGGCCAAGGAAAGTGGCAATGGCCCGTGGCCACCGAGCATCACCAGGTGCCTGAATAGGGCGAAAGGAGAAGGCGCCGCTTTGGCTACAGCCAGAAGAGACCTACCACGGACTCGGACAGTTGCCTGCCGTCCCCGTGTGAGAGTGGATTCGCGGGACGTCGCCGGCAAAGGATTGCTGGAGCTCGATCACCGCAAGCCATGCTTGGAGCACCAAGCTCGATAACTGTTGCCAAGCTCATCAAAGCCTGCAGCACCGAGCAGTGGCCGAAAATATTGCAGCTTTTGCGGGAGCTTCAAGCCAGCCGGTTGAAGCAAGATGTCGTTCCGTACAGCTCAGCAGTAACGAAGTTATCCCGCAGCGAGTCTTGGCAAAAGGCTTTGCTGCTTCACATGGACATGCGACGCCAGCGGTTAGGTGACTTGGGAGCCTATGCAGCCTTGTTGACTGCCTGCCGCGTTGGCGCTGCCTGGTGTGCAGCCTTGGCGCTGTTGCGGGAGCTTCGCTCTGCAGGCATGCAGCCTGACACCGTCTGTTCAAACGCAGTGGTGTCAGCTCTGACCCGTGCAACACAGCTATCGAAAGCACTGTTGGGGCATCTTGCATGGGAGACTGCAAACATGAATTCGATTCTAATGTCACTTCGCCACATCCCAACGTCTTGGACCCATGCCCTTCATGTCTTGGAGCACATGCAGAGACGGCGGATTCCGGCAGATGTGGGCACACTTAAGTCAGCTATGAGTATCTGTGGCAACAGCCGACCCGACCTGGTTCCCGGCCTGTCAAGGCAGCTGCAGGTCCAACCGGACACGGTTGCTTTGAACATGCACCTGGGCTTCTTGGAAAAGCGCCATGACTGGCAGGCGGCCTTGCATGAACTTCGGTCGCTCAATCCCGAGCTCGGCGGGACAGGATTGAGGCCAGAGCTGATCACATACAACACAGCGATCAGCGCATGCAGCAAGGCAGCAAGGTGGGCCTGGGCCCTGGAACTCCTGGCTGCCATGGTCTCATCAGCTCTGAAGCCGGACGAGGTCACCACGGGCAGCCTCATCACTGCTTGCTCCACTACAGGCCGGTGGCTCCTGGCCCTGCAACTTCTTGTGGCTTCAAACCAAAGCCCGCCCAATCTGATTGCAGTTCATTCTGCCATTACAGCTTGCGAAAAAGCGGGGCAATGGATGTGGTCACTGCACCTCTTCAGCGATGCTGTGGCAAGCAGGCTGGCTCCAGATATCGGCCTGCTCGGTGCTGTTCTTTCCAGCTTCGAGAAAGCACAGCAGTGGACACGATCCTTGCAGCTTCTGAGCCAGATGAGCAGGGAGAGGACCATTCCATACCCCCATGCACCCGAACTGAACCCCCCCCATACGAAGCCAAACCCCTGCGGTAAGCTGCGAAATAGGCTGCAGCTGTAGACGAATAAGTATCAATGCTGAAGGGTACTTTCACTTTCACTTTCCACGCAGCGAAGTCAACCTTCACTTGGCGAACCCGAAGGACAGGCGGAAAGGCCCGGCACAAGCTGTGCTTAGCACATCCTTCCAAAGAATGCAACAACGCTGAAGGGTAGCATAAGTTTAACAATATAAGGATACAGCAAAATAGCAATGCCGAAACATGTCAAGCTAAACCAGATGCTCAGACAGTTGCTATGACAAATAGACAGAACCCTAAACCCTAAACCCTAAACCCTAAACCCTAAACCCTAAACAGGACCCCTCCGGACGTCGCCCTCCTAACCTCCGCGATCAGCGCCTCCGCGAAAGCCCACTGCTGGGAGACGACGCTGCTCCTCCTTTGCGAGGCCAGAGCTTGGATGTATGCATGTGTGTATATACATGTGTAGATTCTTATAATTAGCCTGTGTACGTAAAATACACAAACAAACAAACAAACAAACAAACAAAACAAAAACAAAAAAAAAAATATATATATATATATATATACATGTGTCTATATATGTAATGTATATATATATATATATATGTATGCGCACGCCGATGGGCGTCCACATTTGGTCTTGCAGTTCCGAACTGATCCGAGCTGCTCCGGCTTTTAGCCGATGAAGCGTCCACAATGGGGTCTTGCGTGCAATGCCCCATTCCCATCATCAGAAGTCGCAGCATTGAGTTTCCACATTGGGGTTTTGCACTTAAGGCATGACTTGGCACTGATCCGAGCTTGGGGGGCGATCTGCGCTTTGACTCCCGTGCCCGAACACCCGCGAGTCCCTGTGAACCAAACGCTGGAGCCACCAGAGAGGTCAAGCAGGGTCAGTCAGGGTGTAGGCTTCATAGGATTTCAGGGTTGAGGACTTCTGGTTTAGGGTTGAGGGTTTAGGGTTGAGGGTTTGTTGAGGATTGAGGGTCCACGCCTGTGGGGCAACGATGGGCAAAGGCGGTGTGGCTACTTGTACTTGTAGCAAAGACCACAGGCCAGCAATCTCCTGCAAGTACCTGAACTGAAGACACCTATCCAGGGTCCAAACTCCTTTAGAAGGCAGAAAAACCAAACCCTAAGCCCATTTAAGAAGGCGACACTTATCCAGGGTTCAAACTCCTTTAGAAGGCAGAAATACAACCCTAAGCCCATTTAAGAAGGCAGATAATTCATTTTTCAGCACATGTAAAATGCACAAGCAACCATGGTGGCCCGCAGCGACCTGAGCTCAAGATTGGCTCAGGAGGGTTTAGGGTTGAGGGTTTAGGGTTTAGGGGTTTAGGGTCTTATGAGAGCTCATGAGCCATGCGGAGGAGTGTGGGCAGGATTGTGAAGGCCGGCGTTGCCGAAAAATGTTGAGCGTTTAGCATCGTTCCAGAATTGATCTCTGCACAAGTCGTCTGGCAGGCCATGAGAATGAGAGCGCATCAGCAGAGCAAGAACGCCTGGTGGGTGGCTTGATCTTACGTGGCAACAAGTGTGTACTAATCCGATCCCTTTCTGGAGAGTGGGAGGGCATGCGGCTGCCTTGGGGCGCAGCAAGCATCGGCGAGTCAAGCACGCAAGCGGCCACTCACATCGCTTCTGAGTTGTGCGAAATCGAAGAGGAGGAGGTGACAGCCTTGGACATTGCACCTGTGACTGTGGCCGTCCCTGGCATGCCTATCTTATTGCATGCGCTGTATGCTGTTAGTCCCCCGCCTGCTTCTGCGGCCGATGATGACGCTGAAGACCCTGAGGATATTTATGATTGGTGCCTTGTTACTGTGTTTCAGTGTTGAGTGCGCCCTAGCAAAAGTAGTTTTGGTTTGGGATCTGGTTTGAAAGTCTATCTTACATTGGAACAACTCTTCTGTGGGCGCTTGTAGGCTTGCCGTTCATCTCCGCTCGAAGGAGATGTCATCCTGCACGGCATAAGCCATAAGCCTTCCGCGGCTTCTGCACAGCAAAGCACAGCACAGCGTCAAACAGAGTTAAGCACGGCACTGCATCCACTTCCCAGCTAGGTACACTTTCCCGCGGGCGATGACCGTGCTGGCAAAGGATCCTTATGCTCGAGCTGCCCTTGCTACGATGGCCTTGGCTCTGTCAGCTGGGGTGCTCGGAGGACCTGCGTTAAAGCTTGACGCTTTGTGCGTTTGCCTCAAGTGTCTCTGGTGATGTAGCCACTTGCGCAAGTGTGCTGCATAGCTAGCACAGCCTTGAAAAGCCGACTTCCGAGCACACGCCCAACTGCAAACACTGCTGCATTTTGCAGCTGCACGCATGCTGACACACATGAAGCATTGGAGCATACCTTGCTCGTACGCAGGCCAAAGGCCTCCAGGCACTTCTCAGAGCCACAAAATTCCCCCGGCCTGGCCAGAATGCCCCAAATCCCGGAAGGAGGGTGGAGGGGAAAGGCGGGAAAAGAGCGACCCCGGATGTTGTGCCCGAAGCGCGATGCAGGCAAAACGTCAGCCCACAGGTACACATCACTCGCCGTAAGCCCTCCATTCGACCGAAAGAAGCCAGGTTCTCTGCTGAGACCTTTGGAGGTAGTAAGCATTGCTGTGCGGATGTCGTTGCAGCGATCCACACTTCCGCATGATCAGTTGTCTCGTTCGCAACAGGCTTGGTGCCCAAGAAGTGGGGTGGCGTCTTTGGTCAGGCCGGGAAGCTCATTCCACTGGCCGAAAAAAGCTGCGTAGCTCGCACACTCGGATTTTTGAGGAATGGGTGGAACCAGCTTTGAAACTGCTTCCAGGCCCAGGCAGGCCTGCTGTGTGGCATCATGGGTTGTGTGCGAGCTGTCTTGGTTGCTGGAGGCTTGGAGCTCGGAGCAGAAGGCTCTGCGACTCTGCAGCACTGTACAATGCCTACATCGCTCCCTCTTCGGGCCCCGGGCCAGTGTGTTCTTCGAGCTTGCTTCAGGTTTGTGACCCCTCCTCGAAGTCCAGCTTATATTGAGAATAGCAATAAGATGAAAAGATAATGAGAACAAAAATGGGAAATATTCAGAATATGAATAATGTGATTACGTATCAATGCTCATGATATTAATTGGTGTTATTCAACTGCTCGCTTCTGTCGAGGACAATGTCGAGGACTCCGCGAGCAGCTCTCTGACACCAGGCTTGGAAATGCCTGTTGGCATGGGGTGATTGTAGGCGCCTCTCTGTGCTAAGGCTGCGTGGTAACAAGGGCTGGCTGGAAACACAGCTTTGCACTCTGAGTGCAGAGCGTGCATTGTCTGCAGGCACAGGAAGCCGCAAGCGCAAGATGGACGACCAGAGTAAGCAAGATGCTGACCCTGCAGAGTTGTGAGACGCTTGGCAATCTAGCGTTGCTGGATGCCTCATGCGGGCAGAATGCCTCTGAGCTCAACACGTCATAACACGTCGGCGGCGGTAGATGCAAAAAGCGCTCAACAGGTTTAGCGTGGTTCCTTAGAGATTATGAACTGTGGGTTAGGGTGGGTTGGTCTTGGGTCTGAGGGTTTGGGCATGTTTGGGCCTTCGCGGGCTCGGGCTTTTCTGAGCCTCTTCGGGGTGATGACAGCTTCGAGTACAAGCGTCCAGCATGGTTCAGGTGATGCCTCACTGGAACCTTGCCCCCAACGAGGCTGGCCCTGCATGGCGCCCACTCCTGCAGATGAAGCAACCACTCTTACACCCTAAACCCTAAACCCTAAACCCTAAACCCTAAACCCTAAACCCTAAACCCTAAACCCTAAACCCTAAACCCTACTTACCTTCCTAGAAGTGTCCGAGACTCTCCGAGTAGGCGACTGCGGGAGCTGCTCTCTCGTCCCTGTCACATGGCAACGCGCCCGGTATGGCAATCCTAAACCCTAAACCCTATAAATTATAAACCCTAAACCCTATAAACCCTATAAACCCTATAAACCCTAAACCCGGCTCTTTGCTGCAAACGGTCTTGAGGCCGCTCCTGGCAACTCGCGGAGTCCATCTTGGAAGCTCGACAGTGACAGTAAGATACTTAGTTCTACTTAGTTATGCGTAGTTGTTATACTTAGAGTTGTACTTAGAGTTCTACTTAGTTGTACTTGGGTTATGCTGACTTATACCAAGTCTGCCAGAACCGAACCCTTCTGTCTCCCTCAAAGAGTCGACCTAGGAGAGCCTGCACCACCAGCGGCTGCAGTCCATGAGCCTGGGGCCAGGGACCACCTGGCGGCTACGGCCACAGCCTCAGGCCGTCGTAGGCCACCCCTCGGTGACCCCGAGCGTGACTAAAAGCACAGGGGAAAAATGTGCTTTTCCCCCTTACGGTGGGTTCTCTCTTTCTTCTCGTTCTGCTCGTTTTCAGGCAGACATGTCTGACCTAGGTGCTACGAAAGAGCTCTCAGGAGCCCTGCTCCAAAGAGCCCCTGGTGCGAAGGTCGGCGCAGTTGCTGACGAAGTGATGTCCGGATTAGCTCAGAATTCTACCGTCTACAGCTGCCTAAGCTACTGCTCCTTCCATGCTGGGTTTCTGTACTTCAGGACGCCTATCATGCACTAGGGACAATCCAGCGCCTGCCTGTGATACTGTGTGTGACAGAGGTGCTCTTCTCACCAGCTACATCGCAGAGGCGAGGGATCACTTCTCGGGCCGGTTGTTTTGGCTTGGATGCGACATCTTAAGCACTGTTGTCGAGGACTTGGTGGATCTGCGTGACTTGCCACCGCCACTGGCCCGGGCTGCAATGTGCACGAGACCAAGTCGCTTCCAAGTCAAGAGTGATCCCGTTGCATCCGTGATGCTTGCAGGGAGCCTGCGATACTGTATGAACATGTCAGAGATAACGTCTTCTCTCTGTGTATATATATATATATATTTATGTATATATATATGTATATATCTATACATACATAAGCAATTTCCTTCTGATCAAGGCGATTCCTTCAGCCAAGCTCTCCTTGCTGGTTCTGTGCATCACACAGCGCTCGGAGTCATCAGGCCAGAACACGAGACCCTTAAAATGCAGCGGGGGGAGCTCGACTGCCATGGGAAGCCTTGCCACTCAAAAATCCCGAAGCCAGGCAGGCCGAGGAAGCTTCCTACGAAACAGCGGTCGGAACTGTGCAGGTGGGACCCGAGTATCACCTACATAGCAGCCTTGCGAAAAGAAATCACTTTGGCTGCCCTTGACATGAAGCGTTGTGCGCAGGGCTTGGTGGAGCAGCTTGGGCTAAAGGCAGCGGCCGCCTTTTTTTTGCTTGACGTGAGTGGGCTGAGTTGCTTTGGCTTCGGACTGGTATGATTACAGATCTGCTCGCCAGGCCTGCGGACGTGCAGATGTGCATGCCGATCCAAGGCCAGGCATTCAGCATCTTTCAGGTACGCTTGGCCGGTACCAAGTAACAACCACCCTTTCATCCGACAGGGACACACGTGATGCCAACCCGGTCATACCCCTGATCTCCTATGACCAAGGACCCCTTCCTCGCATTGGAAGCTGCCGCCGCTGCCATCAAGCGCGCGCAACGAAAGCTATCAAAACCGACGTTGCCGTGTGGTCCTGGGTTTAGGGTTTAGGGTTTAGGGTTTAGGGTGAAGTGCCTTCTCCGTGCTGGATCCACACTGCTTCATGCCACATTTTTGGGCACGCGGGCACGTGACCTGAAATGTTTGGGAAGGCCACATCCTGCTTACGACGTCCCTGGCGAGGCCTAAGGGGCATATAGCAGTTTATAAGAATATAAGTAGCAAGATAATATGGTAAGGTAGCAAGATATAAGGATAGAAGAGCAAGAAAGTATAGCAATAGCAATAAAGCAGAATATGAGCACACAAATGCTCCCTGGAAGGCAGATCTGGTTGGCAGGATCTGTGAGATCCTGGCCTTCCGCCCAATCGAGGACGCAGCCTGAGCCATATACGTGAGTCTCGATCGGGCAGTCACAGAGGCGCACTGCTGACATTGGTACATGTAATAGTATGACAATACAGCAATGTAACAATAGAAGAATATCAAAATATGTGGATGTACCAGATTATCATAAAATGATCATATAGGTTGTTCATAAAGAAATCACATGACAATAACATCTAGTATTCTAATCAGGCAATAATCTAGTGAGACAATAATGCAAAAACACAATAGTACAGAAAAATAGTATAACACAAGAATGGAATCATTGCGTATTCAACTAATAATACCATAATACAACATTACGATAATGCGATAATGCAAGAATACTACTAGCTCATACAATCGTATACTAATTTAAAGGTATAAAAGTGTACTAATATACGAGTATAATTGTCTGCTCAGTTCGTTTCATTGAGTTTTAGTTAGTTTTGTTTTTTATAATTCACTTCACTAGGCCATATAACAAGTGTTGTAGAGACCAAAAACACTTCAGTAGCCCGTATAGTATTTAGTCAGAAAAACACAACCATGGTTCAAACTTATGCAAGGAATACACTAGGCTTTTTCGTTAGTTCAACATTTTGCCTAGTACAGGCATTTTGTTTCTAGAAAAGGACACGATTGCTTGGGACAAGCACTACTTCTTTAGAACATTGAACGAATTGCTCAGAAAAAATCATTTTGTTCATAACATTGCATTATAGCACAATCACTATTTTTGCAATGGATATCTATGAATCAACACAAGCTGTGTTCACTAGCCTGTTTCATATAGCATTAATACAATATGCTTCCAAGTACAGGCACCATGTGTCTAAAGAAGCACACTATTTGCCCAGGTTTGGGACAAGCATTAGTTCTCCATAAAGAAACCAAAATCAGGAAAAAAAATCAAAAACAAAAAACAAGAAAAGATAAACACATTATTCTGAGACTCTGGGAAAGGTGAAACCACGAAAGGGAACCGTTGGCCCTGACGTCAAGAGTTTGGAAATATTTTTTGTTTTTGTCATTGGCTTTTTGGTTTGGAGTTTTGGGTTTCCTGATGTGCTTCTTTGTGTCTGCGTTTTTGGAGTTCTGGAAACCTGCCAATGTAGATCTGGGGGGGGGAGGGCGAGCATACATACATATATATATATATATGTATATACATACATATATATATACATACAGATATATATATATATATATATATATAGCAATGCAGCAACATAGCATGAGGTGAACAACCTCTCTTCTAGATTTGCCACAGTTTTCAACCAGGCGGAAGACTCAGCAGCTTCAGGCGATGATGTGTGTTGCGAGAGGGCCTTTCCCGGACAGGTCGTGCGCAACAACGAGCGCACGCCGTTTAGTCCAGATCGGCGAAATGATGGCAGCTTCAAGAAGCCCCGTCCTTGGAGCAGCGTAGCTTAGCTTATGGGGTTTGGGATGTTCCCCTGATACGAATAGGGGGCACTTTAGGGTTCTTAAGGGAGGGGGCTTCATGGGGGGTAGGGAACCTTAGGGAAGCTTGGGGAGCCTCAGGGAGTAGTGGGGAGTATTCGGGAACCTTGGGTTACATACCCGCTTTGAATCCTCCGCCCTTAAGAACCCTATACTTCGCATTGGGTGCATGCATGACTTGATTCTGTCACACTTGTGCCACGCACGCTGCGTCTCATCTCCGACACTGGCAGAGGGCGCACTTGTCTGCCATGTGGTTCAGGTGGCTGCTGGCTTGTGGCTTCGAGGCTTGACAGCGGGGTGTACATGCTTTGTGAGTCGCGCTTGAGCTGCGGCAGGTTGGGCCTCTTTTCGATCGGAACAAGTCTTTGGTCTACTTGCCGTCCAGGGCCTACCTTACTTGACCACATGCCTATGGCAGAATGACCTGTTCATGACGATCAAGCCCCTTTAAAGCCCTACAGCGTCCTGGCATGTCCTAGAATGCCCTATAATACTACACAATGAACTGGAAACCCCTGTATCCCCTGTTTCGAGCGTGGAGGCAGCACTCCCGGCAGACATCCGAAGCACCAAGGCACGACTCCCACCAATGAATTGGTTCTTAAGAAATTGCCACGGAAGCCCGACGTATGTTGCGTGCAGGCGCCGCCTCTACCGCGGCAAGAACGACAAAACAGGACCAGCGAGGGGGGGGGCGGGCGAGAGAAGGAGAAGATGGGGGGCCGGGGGGAGGCTTCCATTTCATATATATATATATGTATTATGTATATATATATATATATGTATTATGTATATATATATATGTATTATATATAAGCCGTGTTGCCATGGAGTGTATATCTGGGGCAGGCCTTCAGAATTCCTGCACTGGCACCACCTGCCCGCCGGAGGCCGGGGAGCGAGACAGGCAAGCGAAGTGCCCCCTCTAAGTGCCCTTTGGAGAAGAGCCATGTGCAGGGGCGACCCAACCGCAGGCCACTGTGTTGTTTTTTTTTTGGCATCTTTTTGTCTCGGATACATGGCGGTATGCCTCAGTAAGCGAAGCCACCCTCTGAGGTGGGAGGTTAAGCACGAAAACGACTTCCAGCCACAAGATCAGCTGAGCATGCTGATGGCAGCCGCCTGCTTTCTAGCCGCAGCCTTACGAAGACTACAAAGGCGCTTCCATGGTGATTTGGGGGTCCCAGGATCGACTTGCGGAGGTGGCCTGTCAAAAGCGAATGATGTTCAGGCGCCCACCCTCGCGCCCCAGTGTGCCGAGGCCCTTCCTTGTTTTGGGGGTCCATTTCCGCGCTGGGAAGTTACAGCATGCGACGCATTCATCTGCAGTTGTGTCATGTTGTACATGTTGGACCCTCTTTGGCATTCAGCCGAACCCCCCCATCAGCTCGAGAGGCCGCGGACCCTGCTCAGCACATGGAGGAGGCGGGCATTGACCCCCCTCGAACAGCTTACGACTCAAAGCGAACCTTGGCATACGATCCAGTATCTTAAGCTTATTTACGGGAAAGTCCCGGCAAGCCACTGCCCCAGTGCTAGATGCCGCGTTCGAATGCGTTCGATGTGCCCACATGGCAGGCCCACCAGTCTCTGGACATGGCTCAGACGTGCCGGCCCCGTTTGGGCACGGAAATTTCGAGTGCTCTGTGGTGGAACAAGGTGCGGGTAGCAGATTTCTCATCGCAGTGAATTGGTGGTTTCCGAAATTAGGGGTACCTTATTAGGGTCCTTATTTAGAAGGGGATCCTACTATTTGGGGGTTTTATTTCAGGGATCCCCTATTTTCGTAAACCCCCAATTGGTCCGCTGCACAGCTGCACATGCCAACTGCATCTCTGCCGCTGATGCAGCCTGGCCAGGACTCGAGTCACATGGCGCATGTTTGCATACACGCCATAACAAGTACATAAATACCCCAGCACATACACACACAGAGACAAGTACAAAGATGCACAAAGTAAATACGTATATGTACCACATGCAATGCTTAATGCTTAGTTGGGTCTATAAAGGTTTATAGTATACATACATATATATATATATACACATGTTGTTGGGAGGTTGACCTTGAATCCTTGAATCATCTTGCAGTGTGCGAAAAAATGGAGCCTGTCTTGGCAGTCCTCGCGAACGCGGTGGCAGCTTTGCTCTCAATTGCAGGTTGGACGGAACCACGGCCCAGCAGATCTCATCGTTTCCAACCCTAAACCCCAAACCCGAAACCCGCAACAGGTCCGCTTCCGGCCACTGCTCTGTCTCCTCCGCATTTTGAAGTCCTCGAGTGCGCTACCTGCCTGGGCATGCTGGCCCTCGCCAGGACCGACTCTATTAATGTCGATGAATGGAGTCCTTGCAATTGGAGCTGCTGGAAATCACAATAAGCATCACAAGGAATCACTGGAAGCATCAAAACAATGAACCCAACGAACACCATGAACACAGCGAACACATTGAACACATTGAACGCAGGACGCAGTTTTCCAGGCAATGCCTCGCGTGTGGCCTCATGCGGGTGGTCGCCCTTGCTTCGGGAACTTCGGGCCACTCATCTCAAGCTCAGCTCAATGACTCAGCTCAAGAACCAACTTGTCTGAGAGTTAACTTTGATGCCGGTGGAGGGGAGTTCATGCATCGTCTTGAAGCAGCCAGACTGAAGCATCTTGAAAGCTCCTTGAGCCAGTCTGCTTCTGCTCGTACGTCTATCTTTGGGGCCATTTCACTGACACTGATGGGCACGTGAGGTCATCAGTGGGCCGCCGAAGCCTGAGCTTGCTCGACCCTTTCGCCTGCGCGCTTGCCCGGAAGAGATGGTGTTCTGAGGCTGCTCTGGTCGGATTGCTGGATCTTGCCTGGACTCGGGAGCAGCTCTTCGACTTGCTCATCAAGAGCAAGTCGCAGCTGTCCTGGGTAGTGGGGGCCAGCAAGGCGTGCCTTGTCCTGGACGTGAACGCCCGCTTGCTGGAAGTCTTGGGTCTGCTCAGTCCCGTCCCTGACCCTGGGCTGTTTGGTTGGTGTTGGCGCCTTGCTTGCACCAGTGAAAACCCTAAACCTTAAACCCCAAACCTTAAACCCTAAACCTTAAACCCTAAACCCTAAACCTTAAACCCTAAACCTTAAACCCGAAACCCGAAACCTGGGTCCTGCAACGGCCATGTCCGGCTCTTGGAGACTAGCTCGGGCGACGCTGTGCCGTGATAGCCTCTGCCCTAGGACCGGTCACATGTCTACAAGCGACTGCAGTTGCTATATATATATATATATATATGTATGAACAGATGTTAATATATATATATATATATATATACATACTATTAAAACATACCTATCTGCATATATATATATACACATATATACATATATATATATATATACATATACATATATATATATATACATATATATACATATATATACATATATATATATACATATATATGGTACCCCCCCCCCCCCAGTGACCTACCCTTTTTCGCCTTGTCTCAAGTCACAGCTGCACTGCAAGCAAACTCGGTGTGCAATATAGCGTATTTCCTAGGGCGTAGACTAAAATACAACTAAAATCGCATACACGGGACAGTAGAAAAACCAAAAATACCAAAACCAAAAAAACCAAAAAACCAAAACCAAAAAAAACAAAAAAAACAAAACCAAAAAAACCAAAAAAAACAAAAATACCAAAAAAAACAATTTTCCGGGACTCTCAGGAAATTCCTATGAGGCTTCTCCAAGAGCCCCAGAAAATTGGTTTTTTTGGTATTTTTGGTTTTTTTGGTTTTGGTTTTTTTGGTTTTTTTGGTTTTGGTATTTTTGGTTTTTTGGTTTTGGTATTTTGGCTTTTTGGTTCGCCTTCACGGTCACGAGGCAACAACTACGCATTTTTAAGTGTGCTTATGCTAATTGTGCTTTTCAAAAATAGTATACAAGTGGTCTTTCTAGTGCTTCAGAACTTTTTGTTTCGTTATTATGTAAGTAGAGCCGCTAGTGTTTAGTGCATCTTTTGGTTGCACTCAAGTGTAGTAGACCTTATTCAGCCATTACTTGGTGCTCTGGTAGCTAAATTCGCATGGATAATATTTGCCTGGTAAATGCGATTAATTATCTAGGAGCAGCATTTGCAATACTTGTCTTGAGAAAAAGCATTTATTGCTTAGAATTGTTTGCTTAAAAAGTAACTCCTACTCGTCCAGGGATACCCCAAAACCCTATAATCCAAACTTCACCAGAGATTCTCCTGAAAAGCTTGCTTGCTTTTGGATGTTTTTACGTATTTGTGAATTTGCTTGTGGTATGGCCTTCACTTTAGAAGTACTTTTCTAGGATTCTTGTGCATTTGTTAAGCCTGATTGTGCAAGTTGCGTTTTTCAAGCATAGTATATATGTGGTCTTTATTGAATACTTCAGACATCTTTGTTTCATCGTTATGTAAGTAGAACCGATTTCCATTATTGTGCATTTTTAAGCTTGCTTATGCAAATTGTGCTTTTCAGACATAGTATACAAGTGGTCTTTAGTGAATACTTCAGCAATCTTTGTCTCATTGTTATGTAGGTAGAACCGTTTCCATTTCCGCAAGTGTTTATTTCGTATTTGACTGAGTATGGTCCTTTAAATAGTATTCACTTGAGTCAAATTGGGCTATTTGCTTAAGAATTCCTTTAGTAGTTAATTTCGCATAGAATGAATACTTCAAAAAAATTGTTTCATGAATATGTAAACATAAGGTGTTTCATTTGACTTTGCAGATAGTATTTCAATAATACTTTGCCTGGTATAAACACAACTGTTTCAATGCATTAGTTGCTCAACAAAGCACTATTTGCCCTTTAAACCACACTTTGCCATATGTTGGTTGTATATGGTGCTTATTTCGTATTTTGGTTGAGTATGGTCCTTTAAATGGTATTCACTTGAGTCAAATTGGGCTATTTGCTTAATAATTACTCTAGTAGCTAAATTCGCATAAAATGATTATTTCAAAAATAAAAACGATTCATGAATATGTAAACATAAGGTATTTCAGTGGACTTTTCAGAGAGCATACTTTGCCTAGTACAAGCACAATTGTATAAATACAGTATTTGCACTTTAAACCCACACTTTGCCATATTTTGGTTGAGAATGGTGTCTATTTCGTATCTTGGTTGAGTATGCTCCCTTAAATGGTATTCACTCGAGTCAAATTGGGCTCTTTGCTTAATAATTACTCTAGTAGCTAAATTCGCATAGAACCAAGAAAAATGTTTCACTATTTGATTAATACTTTGCCTCGTACAAACACAATTGTATAAATAAATTAGTTGCTCAACAAAACATTAATTGCCCGTTAAAAAGCACAATTTGCATAGAAAAACACTGATCTAAACATCTAAAAACAGCATTGTCCGCTTCAGATTCAAAATGTAGATTCTTCCAAATGCTGGCTTATCGGGGTCTGTGAGGTGGGTGTCCCAGTAACTGTCCTTCATTACCCGGTGATTAACTACGCGACTTTTGGGCCTTGTTAGTTATTTTTTGTTAAAAAGGCCTAAAAAGGCCTAAAAAGGGTAGGTCGCTGGGGGGGGGGTAGCATATATATATATATATATATATACGTACTGATACATGTACGTATATGCACATGATGCAGGCCGCCCCCAAGCTGAGGCTTCGCTTTGTGCTCGTGGCCATGACTTTGTCTACGTGGCTGATGGCCAGGGCCAGCCCAACCTACTGCGTGATCATGGTGCTGTCGCTGGGAGCTGTCATGGTGGCCTCCCATCTGGACCCGGAAGGCCCGCAGCTGGCAGACACTATTTGATGGTTTATTTCTGATATTTATTTTACTCATATGCCGGTTCGCCCCACAGAAACAGCTGACGCCCGCCAACAACGTTGCGCGTACAATGACTAGTACAGTCAAGAAAACACCGAAGCAGCAGCGAAGCTGCAACTCTGAACAGCCTCCGATTCCGACCGCGCCTTCTTGGGCTGCCAAGCATGCGACATAGGCAGGGAGGCGGATCTTGACAAATGGTGAAGAAACATGACTGCAACAAGCATAGAAAATGCGCGTAAACCCCAGCACATCGCAGAGAGCATGTCAAGCTCTTAAGTTGCAGGTCACTCGGGAGATGGTTCGGGCCTCCATTGGTGGATTCTTGGTTCTGCCCTAACAGCAACTGGCTTCACGCTGCAGCCTTGGCTTCGACACGTTGCTGGCTGAGCCGTTCCGCGCAGCTGGCAGCTCGCGTCTGCTCACGATCTTCCGTCGCAGAGATGCTTGTGGTTGTGGACAAGCAAGCAAGAGCCAAGTGCTCCGACCCCGTGAACCGGGCTCAAGATCGTGAAAGGACTGAAGGTCAACATGGAGACGTGCTGCACCGACCATGCAGCAGCATGGAGCAGGAAGAGGCAGGAATTGAAGAAACTGACAAGCACTTCACACAGTAGGCCTTTGAGGAGCAGCCGAGTCAGCATTCGGCTGAGTACAGAGCCACTTCTGAGAAAGACGCTGACAAGTCGGGAAAAAGAGCGATGTCGAGTCGTGCGAGCATCCGAGTGGCGAAAATGCCATGAGACCGAGGTCAGAACCAGAGCCGGAGCAGTCTGAGCCAGCGCGGGACGTGGCGAACGAGCAGGATGCGGGGTCTTAAGCCCAACACTCGGCAGCACAAGGCAGAGCAACTTCAAGGGTTCAACTCTATGCCACGTCCACCAAAACGCGGACAAGAGAGTTGCGAGGACGTGTCGAACGACGGAGACCCTCAGCAGGCATGGATGCCCTGCTGTTTTGGCACATTAAGCGTTCTAACTTCTTACTGTCTGAGTTTTCACAGCTGCAAGGGCCGCGAGGGTCGCGAGGGTGCAGACTTCTCGGAAGAGGAGGACGAGGCCTGAGCTTCATTCTTTGCCAACCTCTACTATTGCAAGGCGTGAGTACGACCATACTAGGTACGGTTTCAGATCAAGGGCAAGGCTACCTGAGATGAGACCACAGCATGCGCAGGCTGCACTGGAAGGAACAGATGGTGCAACAAGCCAAGCTGCGTGGGTGGAGGCCAGGAACGTGGTTTCAATGTCTTCAGTCTTGTGCCAGCTGTATCGCAGCTCGATGAAGCTCTCGGAAGAAGCTGTCATGCTGTTGTGTCGGTGTGCTGTGTGTAGCTCTTGGCAGGTGCAGTCAGCCTTTGGCGAACTGGACGAGGCTTCATAAGCACGACATGATTATTACACGTCGACAGGCAAGTGCTCAGCCACTACAGAGATCATATCAAGTTGTGTGATTTGTAGGAGGGCACTTGCATAGTGCTTTGTTGCAACCATGCTGCAAGTCAACGTGGCTGCGCAACAAACGGTTCGCATGCCCTTCAGCAGCTGTGGATGATGCGAGGCAGATTTCGTAATGGTTGGCGACATTGGTTCTTGGGAGGAGGTGGCCTTCTGCCAGATTGGAAGCATGAGTATGCCATGCTGAACTTTGGTGAGTCGTGTGCACCTGGCGCTGGAGGCTGACCCACTGCAGATTGCAAGGGCGGTTGTGCGATTGTTGAGCTGCGAAGAACCTGGCAGCTCCGTCAAGCATCGAGTCACAAGCCCCATGAGAGCCATCTGGGTAGGAGTCCCCTTATCATGAAGGGACCATGGCACTTGCCTTCGTACGCCCTGGCTGCTAAGCACGAAGAACACGCAAATAGTCGGAGTTGTGCATCCCTAACTGTTTGGGAAGTAATTGCACCTTCTAGCTTAGATTTCTCAAAGTCCATCATGAGGGAGGGGATGCCATGAACTTCCCTGTTCCATGGCGATGCCTCCTTCCTCAAGAGGCTCAAGACTCAAGACCGTCTGATGGGGTTGAAACAAAATTGCCTCTTAAGATGTCGAGTGCTGGCATCGCCCTTTGAGGCTGTCGACTTTGTCACATACAACAACAACGAGATCTTGGCAAATCTGCGCCTCCGTCAGCATATTTATGCAGACGATGGAACACCTCTACTGGGCTTGCAAGCAGTACCGAAAACAAGTCTCCGATGATCCCGCAGGTCTGACAACACAGGGGCTTTGATCGATGTCTCTGGCAGTCGAGATACACCGAGCCGCTTGAGCGATCGGATTGTGACCATCAGTGGGCAGGCCCTTGGGCAAGTAACCGCTGTACCTGATATTGCAACGTTTGTATCCGATTTGCAAGGCATATGGCATAAGGTGTAGGCACGCTGCTCACTACTCCCCCATGTAGAGTCGCCGAGCCCTCTTCAGCAGGGCTAGAGCAGGGCTAGAGCTGTGGCTTGGAGGGTGGGGCGGCCCGAGATGCTGTATCGGCAGCTGTCATCCGGGGATCTCCGATGGGTTCCGGCCTGGGCTGGGACCAGAGGGCCTTCAACACATGGACTTCTTATCAGTTTTGGAACAAGGCCTTAAATAGGCCACCATGATCAAGAGCTCTGAAGCTTTAAGGGCACCCGGTCTCGGTCCAGAGTCACAAGGCATGCTTCTGTTTCATGGCGCATTCGTTGGTGTACATACAGAGAGCTGATGCACGGATGTTGTGCCATTGATACCCTAAACCCTAAACCCCAAACCCTAAACCCTAACCCCTAAACCCTAAACCCTATACTGATTGAGCTTGTGTTCCAGCGCACATGTTGAGCCGGAGGCTGAGCAGAAAGCCCGCGCTTGCTTGGGAATCGCGCTCGGCTTAGGAAAGCTTGTTTCTTGCAGTAGCACACAGGCGTTTGTGATCGAGAAAGCATTGGACCGATCTTAGGTCCAAAAGCTCCGAAAGCTGCAGGCGCCGAGCTTAAAGTTGTTCAGGAAGTCGCCATGCCTATCATTCTGCCGGAGACTATGAGAGAGACCTGTGAGAGACTGGCACTCGCTGGAAATGGGAGGGGAGGATAACAAAGAGTCAGCCTGAAAAAGGAGTCCTGCAGAATCCTGTAGATGTGATTGTTAATCTCGCACATCTGCCTAAGCTCAGCTCACTAGGATCTTCTGGACAGCGAGATTGGGTTCTTCGTCATCATCGTCCCGGCAACAGCTATTCCCGTAATCGCGCGCGCCTTTGCCCGCCGCTTCTAGGAAGACAGACTGTGCGTGATGCTGGTTCTCTCGCATCCATGCCCTTCAAACTGTGTTGTGCAGTCGGCTCACGGTCGCTGAGAGTGTGATCTGACAAGTTTGAGGTGGGAATCAAAGGAGCAACTATTGCCGAGGCCCGGGCGGCACCGGATGCACATGCGCTTCGCTTGTCATCAGACACCGCGGATGCTAAGACTCTCCTGAGCGACCACAGACTTGAAATGTGCGAACAAAGTGACAACTGAACCACCAATATGAGGGCATTGCATTTCCGATCTGCGCGATGCAACTAGCAACACAGGTGTTGGAGGGGACTGGTGTCGAGATCAGCATTGGCAAGGAAAATGCTGGCGCCCCAGTGGCCAGCTCAAGCATGCTTCAGCAGCCGTTTCATGTTGAGATCATTTTTGGCAACTGAGCCGGCGTCTATCAACGTCAGCACGCAACATGGGTTCCTAGTCGTCAAAAGATAATAAAACAAGAACTGCCAAAGTAACAAATCCCAACGAAGCACCCACACCGGCAGCGCCAGGTGATGGGCATGCCCGATACGCCAATAGGCGAGGACCGGGGGCCAATGAACACCCAGCTGTGCCGATGAGCACACATTAGGCTGAAGCTGTCTCCAACAGAACAGCGTATTGTTGTTAATGGCCCAGGCTCTTGTAGTTGCTCAGACACAGTTCCGGTTCTGAGATGATGGGCAGGCTTGGAGGGGACGGCAGAGCAGGCGCGTCCTTCACGATGTGACGTCACGCAGCGGTGGAGTGTTCCCGCACGGTTCGACAGCTACCTAGTTGAAAGCATGCACTGGCATCTTGAAGCAGCAATGAAAATCAAAGAATGCATCCATCAATCACATGAGATGTAGGGATGCAGATGAGTGCTTGATGGATGTGTCGCCGCCCACGGGGAGGGAGTATCAGCTCCACTAGAAGGACTCAGTTGTTGACTTGGGGTGTTCAGGCCACCGCAACTCACTAAGCTTGCAATCACAATCGGACGTTGAGCCTAAGAAGCGTCAACATTCGGAGAGTCATACGTGCTAGTAATTAGATCATGGCTTCGTGGAGCCTGGACTTTCCAGAAGATGAGGCCACGCAAGTAGACGAGGACAGTCCATCGAGCTTTCCATCGACAGTGGTGGTAGAGACCCCTGCAAAGAAGCCGAGGGCGAGTTTTCCAGCGACGTTGACGCCCGAGCCGTCTACAGGGACCTTGCAGAGAAGATTCCAGGCTGCGCTCGCGTGCTCGCCGCCGAGTTTACCGGAAGCTTCGTCATCCTCGAGGGCCTTCACAGACCCGTATATGATGGGGGCGGTCCAGGCCCTGAGCAAGAAGCTGGACCAGGCGATGATGGCGAGGCAGGCAGCAGCAGAGAAGACGAAGGAAGCTGAGACGGCATAAGTGCTGGACCACTGGTTCCGGTGGAGGAGGAGCACCTCACCATAGGAACCCCGCTAGGCTCTTGTCGATCTACTTCTTGTATATGGACGTACCGTGCGACGACAAGGAGGTCAGAGGCGTCTTCAGTCAGGCCCTAGCACCCTTAGCCGCCCAAGAAACGCACGCCTACCAAGAAAAACCAGACGCGAGATTGAGGGCCGGAGATCCTATGAGGCCACCGGCGTCTGGCTGGCAAGGCTCGACACGCCACCTCTTCTGCGGCCTTGCACCGAAGTCCACCCCTCCCCCACCACAGGCGTTGAACTCCCCCCCCACCACCCGGCGTCGACCCCCCACAGAAGTCAACCCGCTTGGATGAACCCTGAATCCTAGGTGCGGCAGGAACGAAACGACACGGCACCTTGGCGGGAGATTCTCGTCAAGCATAACATGTTGGTCAGTGAAGGCGGGCTCGTGAAGCGAATGCTGCTCAACCATGGAGGCGATTGGCGGTACGACTTACCCGCCGAGACATGTGTCCAGTTGTCTTACTTTGGGCAGCCATAACCCCCCCCTTGGTGTCGATATTCGGGGGGTGGGGGGGGAGTGCCAAATTGGAGAAAAGTTTCTTCTTCTGGGTTTGGGGGGGGGGGCGGGGGGTGGGGGGGGGGGGGGGGGAGGGAGAAAATAGAAGAAAATGCTATCTATAGGGGGTCAGAAATTAGAGGAAAACAAGAAGAAACATGTCGTATGCACATGAGCAAAGCGCCCAAACCCATCAAAACCCCCGCCAGTACTTGCAGCCACCTTTTTTTGGGGATCGCATAAGGCTAACAGAAGACCTCTTCTGCAGCTATAGATCCTTCATGGCACGGCCATGTGAAGTTGCGTGCTCGGGAAGGTCAGGGCCCTCAGCTGTCGCAGATCTGTAGGGTATCGTCAGCACAGACAATCACAGACATGAACTGCAATGGATACATCTGGCGGCGCTAATGGACGCAACATGGGGGGTTCCCGTCCCTTGACAAGTTTTTTTTGGCATCAGCCTTTGGATTTGAGCATCACTTGCTATTTAAAGTCATGGGGGCAAAACCGCAGGCACTTTCGATTGTCGCTTGGCACAGTCTGCAGTCTAGGAGGGTCAGAGACTGACATGTGGGGCGGGCTGTGACATGCTCTGCTGCAGCTCAGTTTACTGGTGGCCCCCCGGAGGGGGGTGCAGCCGATATAGCCGTGCAAGGTTGAAGGCGAGCTCAGCTCGGCGTCTCAGCCCCTACCAACCAGTCACATTGCATGTGGCGCTGGTTCAAGAATTATTTGTTGGAGTGGCAAGGCATCCACTTGGCAGGCATGCCTGCCGCGTTAGCTCTCTTGACACGGGACTGCCAGGAGGCCATAAGGGTGCCGCCAGACGGCCCCTCCAAACCCGATTTAGGTTTGTTTCACGTGATATTTACCACGAAATGTGTCAAGGTGGGATGCACCCATCAGTCTCAGCTTCGGACGACACCTGACACGTCAGCATGTGTGTCGACCTGCCGCCGCTACGCCCAGCTCTTCCATCGGCTGGAGGCGCGCATGAGTCGGCTACCGCTTGTGGTCTTGTGTGGGTCGGCGGCCCAGGCGAAGGCCCTGGAGATCGTGCACCTGTATATGAGGGTGTACGCGAGGGATATGTGGATGGACGTTGAAGGCTCGTGGGAATGCTACTCCTTGATGAGCCAGGACGTGATCTACGAGCAGGTCTTGCAGCGAGCCCGTTGCGCAGCAGCAAAGCTCAACGCAGGAATATCGGTGATGGAGAAAATGCACGGTCTCCTGGAAAGCGATCGCTCGCGTGCTCAGCAAGTCAAGGAGGAAATGGAAACTCAGATGTCACAGACCTTGTGAACGTAGCAGGCCTCTTGTACAGTTTACAGAAATAGAGCTACGCAGCCTAGCTGATGTGCTCAAGGCACCTGAGCAGACAGGCCTTCTTTAGCTCCCGCATGAGAGCCGGCAGCAGCACACGCGTGCCAAAACAAGAGCTCGACAGCATTGCCTGAGATCTCGGAAGCCACGCCGCTGCTGTGATGCTTTTGTTTGCGCCATTGGCATTCTTCGTGTGATTGGTGCAGGTGACAACTGCAGTGGCCAACATCCACAAGGTTGTGCAGGAGACTGGGCAAGCAGCGCAATTTTGCATTCACCAGTCTCCTGGACTGACGACTTTGAATTGGCAGATATGCGTGTCCTCTGCTTGCGCTTGGTCGTTAGGGAGTGACTCATGCGCTTTGCAATTTGCAATGCAGGACATGGCCGATCGTGGCAGGCTACTGCCTGCAGATTTCAAGTACCGGCCAGAGAAGGCTCAGTGCTACTGCAGGTGTCAGTGTGCAACAAGTTGTTTCGCACTGCTACTGCAGTGCAAGGCTGCTGCTCAGCTGGCTGCGGGTGCTGGAGCGCACTTGCCCGAAGTGGCGCTACCGCTCCAGCCTCTGCATACTGAGTGCACCAGTGTGCAATGTCAAAAACGATGCGACCCGTGACAACCAGCAGCTGCCAGCAAGGCCCGTGGACCACAACCTCTTCTATGGCATGGACCCGACGCAGAACTTTCGAACGAAGGATGGGCAGAGCCAGCACAGTGCTCCGAAAAATTTGCCCTCACAGATGCCAGGCCAAGATCGTCGTCGATACTGGGCTGGCAGGACGCACTGGGTCAGTTTGGCAGTGTCTCCTTGCGGCCACCGTAACGCAGGGCCGGTGTCATCGTCGAAGGTCCAAAGTTCGGGTCAGGGCACATCTCTGAGCATCTTGTTTTGGGAGGTGCGTGTTTGGTGGGCTCGGCTCGATACCAAGAAGCCTAACTGGCAAGCTTCCGCCATGGACAACACTGGGAGTGGCATTGAGATCAAAAAAGAAGACGGCGTGTATCGGACACCGCTTCTGAAGAATCGCATCCCTGAGCCCGAAGTTCCGGAACCGTCGGAACAGTCGACTGGCGGCTCCGGTGCGCTTGCTGCTGCTCACTGGGATGGACGTTTGGTTTGCCGCCTCGCCATTGACATAGGCCATGCGCTTGCGTCTCTTGAGCGTGGCCAGTGCATGCTTCGCGTACTGTATGTACTGTTCGGAGAGGAGAGACTTGTCCTGTGCCCATGGTAAGTCTTAAATATGTCGCAGTAGTTCGTCAACTGCTGGTCATTTGTATGGTGGGCCAGTTGTGAGGCCCCTTGCCTGACCAGGTGGGACTTTCACTGATGCAGTGCTTGAAGACGGAGAGGAAGAAACGCAGCGCTATCCCGTCAAGGTACTGACAACATTACAAAGCCCTGCCAGCGGCTTGGTGGATGCCGCGCTGCGGGCCGTGAAAGCTGGAGGGCGCGAGCCACAGCAGGTTCGGCTGGTTCTGCATGGCACCACACTTGCCACGAATGCTGTGCTTGAGAGAAGGGGCGCCAAGGCGGCGATCATCACTACGAGAGGCTTCAGGGATGTCTTGGACACAGGAACGAGTGGGCGATACGATCGGTACAACCTTGGTGCCACAAGAGCTGCACCACTGATACCCCGCTCCCTGATTTTTGAAGCTTCCCAGCGCCACTCTGCTGACGGCACGGAGCTCCAGGCCTTGGATGAAGCTGAGCTCGAAGCACTGGCCCCACATCTCCAAGCACTTGGCGTAGAAAGCATTGCCGTGTGCTTTCTTCACAGCTACGCGAACAACATGCATGAGGAAAGGGCGGTGGCTGTCCTGAGGCCCTTGCTGCCAGATGTGTGGTTCTGCACCTCCAGTGCAGTAAGTCCTGAGATGCGCGAGTATGAGCGCTTCAGCACGGCAGCAGCAAACGCCTACGTCCAGCCCTTGATCTCTCGGTACTTGAAGCAGGCACAGGGCCTTCTGGTGGAACACGGCTTTCTGTGTCCCTTGCTGATCATGACATCGGGTGGTGGGCTCATGGATGCCGACACAGCAGCGTTGTTTCCCGTTCGCTTGATCGAGTCTGGGCCCGCGGGCGGCGCCGTCCTGGCGGAGCAGGTGGGGATTTACGAAAATACGGGACCCCTAGTATAGACCCCAAATAGTAGGATTCACGTTATAGTAAGGACCACAAGGTACCCCTAATTGCGGAAACCTCCAGGTGGCTAGAGAGGCCAAGGCACAAGAAGTGCTGTCGCTGGACATGGGTGGCACGACGGCGAAGCTCTGTGCCATTTCCAAGGGAAGAGCCACCGTTACGCGGGCTTTTGAGGTGGACCGAGCGCGGCTTTTCATGAAGCACTCCGGGCTACCCTTGCAAATTCCCTGCGTGGATCTGGTTGAAATTAGCGGAGGCGGAGGAAGCATCGCTTCACGAGATGCCGTGATGAAAGTTGGACCACAATCAGCAGGGGCCAATCCGGGTCCTGCTTGCTACAACCACGGTGGAGTTCTTCCCACTGTGGCTCGGTCGCGAATGGCTAGCAATAGAGTGCCCGGACCCGCAAGCTATCGGGCCAGTCGCAGTTGCTTCATCTGCTAGCTTGCACCGGCGGCTGACGCCTCAAGTGTTGCGTACTGGTGCGGCGCCTTTCCCTGTGTTCTACTGTAGTACTGCATCCTGACGTTATTTCGTTCATTGACTTTGGACCTTGTCTTCCCACGGGTCTTCGAAGCTCTTACTATGTTCTATACTGACACTGGTTGTACATGTGCATCAGTCCTCTTCCCCCCGACAAAGGCAAGATTTGGCTGAAATCTTGCTTCGACCCAATAAGGGCCTCGAGCACAGCAGGAACTCGGGCATTTTGTGTCCGACTTGTTCTTCGGTAGCACTCTCTTGCCCTGCAGGTCACAGATGCTGACCTGGTTTTGGGCCGGCTCGAGGCAGGTTCGCTTGCAGGCGGCGCGGTGGACTTGAAGCTTGGTGCAGCTCGGACTGCGATTCAGACTCTGGCGAAGGAGGAGGAGCACGCCCCCGTCGAAAGACTGGCACAGTATGTGTCAGAAGCCGTGGAGGACTCCTTGGCCACAGCTGCACGGGCGCATGCTGCAGAACACGGGCTTGAGCTGCACAGGCATGTGCTTGTGGCCTATGGTGGGGCCGCACCTCTCAGAGCTGCACATCTTGCTGAGAGGCTCCGGATCCGAACCGTCCTGATCCCTCCGGACGCCAGCGTGGGCAGCGCCATCGGGTTCTTCTCTGCCCCGCTGGCTTTCGAGGCGCTGGAAAGTTGCAGGATGAAGCTCAGTGCCTTCGACCACTCCCAGGTCAATGCGATCTTCCGCCAGCTCTGGCACCGCACCTCGGAGCAAGCTCCTATACTTGGGATATTCGTTATTAGTTCACCTTCTCCCCACTTATTAATCAGGCATAAGAGGATCAGATATCATGCATATGTGTATATCTATATCCGTGTATGTATGTCCCTTTGCAATTCTTGGGCTTTTCGGACGATCATATCGAGGAGTATGTTATTCTTTCCCTAAACCCTAAACCCTAAACCCTAAACCCTAAACCCTAAACCCCAAACCCGCCGGGTTTTATTCATGCCAGCTAGGAACGGTCTCAGTGGTCGCAGCCGGAGCTGCGAGGTGGAAGCCTGGGAGGCCACCCAAGGAACTGCGCCGGGCGTACGCTCGCTATGCGGCTTGGGGGGCTTGAGGGTTTGGGGTTTAGGGTTTAGGGTTTAGGGCTTAGGGTTTGGGGTTTAGGGTTTGGGGTTTAGGGTGGGTTTTGGGGTTTAGGGTGTGGTCCCTTTAGCCTTTTTCTTGGGTTCCAGGTTCCCTTGTAAAGTAACCCACTGCCCAAAAAAGGGGTACTCTTATTTATGACTTCCTGCCTGGGCTTCCAAGGTGGGCCAGGGCCATGAGGTCGCCATCGAGCTACGAAACCAAGACATGGTGGCCCAGGACGCAGAAATCCTGCGCCAGGACTTTGAAGCTTCCTACAAGCGACTGGGATTCCTACCCTTGCCCGGCCACGAGGTGGAAGTTTGCTCCTTTGCCCTGGAGGTGGTGGCGGATGCAGATCCTCTCGCGTGGCCACGCGACAGGCTCAAGAAGAAGCGCAACGCTGCTGAGACGTCCATGCTCCGGGAGTTGGACCCCGCGGCATCCAAAGCAAAGCCGAGTCTCGGTCGGGTCTTGGGACGTTTAAGATTTTCCCTATTTTTGGGTTTAAGAGGATCATAAGGAACATTTTTCAGAGGGTTTTAAGTGCTTTTTAACGCAACAAAAAACCCGCATTCCCTTCTGGGTTCAAGAGGCTCCTACTCAAAAAACACATCTTTCAGAGGGGCTTTCTTAAAAGGGGGGGCCATCCGAGGAGTGGCAGCAGAGCCGTGTACTGCAGCCAGCAAGGCAAGCACCTTCCCGTCGCCAGCTACCGTCGCGAGGACCTGGGGGTCGGTGAGGTGGTCGCTGGGCCGGCGATCATTCTCGAAGCGTACACAACTACCGTTGCTTTGGCATAGTTTGGGTAGCATTGTGCATTTTTTTAAGGGTACTTAAGCCCTAATAGGGAATATAATATATGTTTTAAATATTATCCCCATCACGAACTAGGTTGTCCCAGAGTCCTTTGACTGCTGGGTCTTGGCGAACAAGTTCCTGCAACTGCAAAGTCGAGACCACCTTGGCATCCGCTCAGAAGGGCTTCCCCATGACAGTCACATGCTGAGCGTTCCGACTATGTCGAGCCAGCATACGGGAATTCAGCTTGAGTTGGCTTGGATACGTCTCCTGTCGGTTCTGGAGGAGTTGGCACATTTTGCCGTGCGCGGAGCTTTCTCACCACTGTTGAGGGAGTCGTTTGCTGTGACATGTGCCCTCTTTGATGGGAGAGCACGTCTCCTCGCCCACAGTCAGACATCTTCACCGAGTCTGGTGGGCGTCTTAAGCCAAGTTCTGGCGGAGAGGCTTGGAACAGAGGTGATCGCCGGCAGTGACAACTCATGGGTTGAGGTGGTGCGTGGGTGTCCATCAACCATAGTCACAATCGCGCCGTTTGAAGCTCAGGGCTTCATCGCCTGTGCGGCCCATATGCCAGAAGTGACGCAGGACTCCGCGTTAGCTGTTTCCATGAAGGAGGAAGCACTGCACGGGGTAACTTTGCATCCCTCTCTTAAAGAGGAAGCCTCTGTGCTGCTTGCATGCAATGGATTGGGAATTCGACGCTTGCAGAGCCTACTCCAGGAGTGGGGCATCACTTTGCCACAGCTCAGTGACTACATCGTACAGGTCTCACAGGTGGCAATCTTGAAGAAGCTGAGTCAACTGCATCTGGCAACCAACTCATCTTACGACCAGGAGATCACTATCCAGACTGCATCTGACACAGCGCAGCGGGTGAAGCTCACAGCCTGTGTGCATCCACTGACCAAGGGTATCATGGAGTGCGAGCTGTCGGCTACGAGCCCTGAGGCCGTGAAGGGATCTTCGGCCGCCTGCTGCAGGGCCTTTGCCCAGTTCGCGTTCCTGACCATGTTCGGTCCTGACGTTCCAGCGAACCATGGATCTCTGAGTATCTTCAACATAAGCATGGTGCCCGGGTCTCTTTTGGACATGCCGCGCGACGAGCAATATGCAGACGCCTCGACCATCGCCTACTGCTTGCCAGATCTGATTTACGGATGCTTCGGTGCAGGGGCGAAGCTGGAGGGTGGCATATGTGGCACGCATCCTCCTGCCGGAAGCGCGGGTCATCTGTGCTGCTTGCAATGGCGAGTTCCGGGTGGTAGCCCGGGCATCCACATCTTAGCAGGGGGAACCGGTGCTCATGTAGATCAGGATGGGCTCAGCTCTACCATCTTTCCGAGTGGCTTCAGGTCAACACCGATAGAGGTGACAGAGCAGTCGCTTGCTGGCCTTGTCTTCAAAAGCAAGGCACTTATCCAGGACTCTGGTGGTGCTGGATGCTTTCGTGGGGGCCTGGGGATGCGCCTCGTGGTTTCTTGCCCTGGTGACGTCTCACTCAGCTGTATTTCAGCCTTTGCTGCTGATGGACCAGAGGGTAGGCATGGTGGTAGACCTGGCCATTGTGGGAAGGGACCCTTAAGGGAAGGCAGTGGCAAGACCTTTGTCTTCGAAACTGCTGGCGGTGGTGGCTTCGGTCCTGCGGCCAAGCGCCCGCGAACGGCAGTTCTGAGTGACGTGCGCAACGGCTACGTCTCTCAGGCAGCAGCTGTATCAGACTATGAAGAAGCGGCGTTGGGCAAAAGATTCGGGATGACCGAGCGAACAGCTCCAGCTCTGAAGAACCAGAACGGGTCATATCCAGATCGCAACCAGCTTGTTTATCTCTGAAGCCAGCCAATGTAGCCATGTGCCACAAAGCTGAGAACCTGTTGAAACTAGTTCAGAGCTCAGCAGTTCTGCTTTTCCATAGCTAAACATTGCGCAGGATGGCTGATCGGCAAAGGTGGCCGCACCATTCGTGAGATGCAAGAGAACAGCGGCGCGTTTCTTCACGTCATACGCGAGGTGCGCTGCAGATTTCCTGGAGTGTGGAGAGACAGCGAAAAAAGCGCAAACAAACTGAGGAGGAGCCCACTCCACTGTTGAAGCCGGGCGATCGGCTCATCGAAGTCTGTGGCAGCTGACTCAGAGGGTCATCGGTTGGTTTTGCCTACGAGAGCTGCAATGTGCTGAAGCAGTCTTAAGCTCCACATGGCGCAACCTTGCTTCTGCCAAGGGCGCCTGGAGCGCAAGCTGGAGGGAATCCAGGCATCGACCCTTTCGCGCCCGATTTTTGGAAGTGACGGTTTCCGCAAAGCAGAATCTGCGCAAGCGTTCGCCCGCAGGTTGTGCTGCGGACAGCAGACAGCATGCCGGGCAATGCACCGAGAGAGACGCGCATCATTGTGCCTGAAGTGGCAGCCCCAGCTTCTTGTTTGATAGGATTTTACTGTGGCGAATTGGCACTGGGCCTTAGTAGCTGAGCAGGTAACCTTTGACCCTTCTGGGGTATGTATATATATATATGTATAATCCTACCATAATTGAAAGGCTAACCTTTGTTGGCCCAGGGTACTCGGCAACTAGGGGAGCCGGCATTCCGGAGGTGCTTGCAGTGCCACCGATCATGGAGCAGGCTGGCGCCGATGCTTGCCACGTGTTGCCGCGAGCTCTTCATTAGGGTTAGGGTTCGTAGGGTGTAGGGTTTAGGGTATATAGTATAGGGTTTTGGGTTTAGGGCTTAGGTTTAGGGTGGTTTAGGGTTTAGGGTGTAGGGTTTAGGGTTTGGGGTTCATGGTTTGCTCCTCTGTGGGCAGGTTGCTTCGGCATACAACAGCTGCGTTGTCGAGAGGGAGCCTGGTCCAGCATGCGATGCGCGCAGCTCAGTTTCGACAGCAACGGCTGTTCCCGACAGATTCTCAGCCGACGCCAATGTTTGCCAATTTTTTCAAGTTGACAAACTGAAGGGAGAAGCCATGCTGCTGATTGCGGGGCCCATCGCATCCCGCATCCAAGCGATTCAGGCTGCGGCGCAGTGCCTAGATTTTTGTGCAAGTGTCGGAGTCTTTGCCAGATTGGCCACCTGCAAGGACTTCATGTCCAAGACGGACCGCGCGCACATCGAGGGCATTGTTGTGGCAAAGAGCATTGACGGTGAGATCGTCGGCCGCATCCTGAGAATGTGGTGGTTTCCAAAATTAGGGGGCACCTTATTGGGGGTCCTTATGATCAGGGAATCCTACTATGTGGAATTCTATATTTGGCACTCCTTATTTTCGTGAACTCCCATGTGATTCCTTCCTCAACCCCTCCTATAAAGCCTAAACCGTAAACTCCCTAAACCCGAAAAACTGCCCTCAAGTTGCTCCTCGAGGCAAGGATGGTCGAGCGAGGCGAGAAATCCGAGAGGCATTCCGTAGGGCGTTCAAAGTGTGTCTGTCTCAGCCTGCCGTGGCGTGAGCCACTTTGCAAATATGGTGTGCATTGTTGCTGTTCAGGGCTTGGGTTATGCGCCCATCAACCCTCCTCCGCCGAGAGAGCCATCACCGTGGTTACTGCGAGACCCACAGCCTGCGGCCTAGCCGGGCCTAGCCGGGCCACAGTTTGCCACAGTACACATGAAGGCCTGCTTCATGTCAATTCTGTGTCAACTCGTTTCATCAAGTCTCAGGCCACGAAGCTGTTGACTCAGTTTTTTTGTCGAGTCAACCCAGCGGTGGCTGCGCTTCATCTTCAGCGTCAAGTCTTGGCACTCTTACTAACCATCAGGTCTTCAAGGCGAGACAGCGCCGCAGGCACACAGAGCGGAGCAGTTTTGCCATAATGAAAGTGTACGAAAATAGCGGACCCCCAACTTCCGTTTTCAATCAGGAACCCGAAAAGGCACCCGAACCCCCCATATGGCAAGTGGACTTGCGTCTTTCTGCGTGCGCCTTCTGAGTTCCAGCGCCAGGAAGCGAGGGCACCTCCACACCACGAGGCTGGGAATCGATTTTCTCAGCCTCCTCTGGAGCCCCCGGAGCCCTCCCGCAAGAATGGCGACGCAAGCGTCGGTGAGCAGAGAGCTCCCAGAAGGGAGGGCGAAGCAGGGGACCCATGGCCTGTTGAGGACCAGCAGGCGGTCGGTGGGACGAGACTCGCCAATGAGACGCATGCGGGTATGCGTCAGAGTCAACACACCGACCTGCGACGCCAACAATGGCCCGAGACGGAACCTTTGCAGCCGTCGGTTCTGGAACAGCCATACTACAAGGACATCCAGCAAGTCGACGATGCAGGACTCGCCTGCCATCTGGCACTTGCTCCGCCCCTGTCTCACTCCCACGTCTCTGTCGGTTTTGTTCTCACTTTCTCTCATCTATCTTCCTCATGCAGGATCAACAGCCTGGGAGCAGGAGTCGAACGACCTCTCTTCTTTGGCCGGTCAGTTGCCTGACAGCAGGCTAGGCCAGGAAAGAGAGATGTTTGCAAGCTCAGGCCGGGAGGGTTTAGGGTGTAGGGTTTAGGGTTTAGGGGATGAAGAGGCAGCATTCCTGTGCATGAACCCCTGCTTCACCAAACAAGCCTTGGAAAGGGATGAGTCATGACAGACTGGCAAGACCGTCCGGCATTGATGAGGCCGGAGTCAGAGAGACGGTAGTGGCACCTGTTTTGTGATCCTTTCAGAGACAGAAGACCTCGGCGATGCATTTGATAAAGAGATGAAACCTGGAACCCTAAACCCTAAACCCCTTAACCCCTAAGCCCTAAACCACCCTTAACCCCCTAAACCACCCCTAAACCCTAAGCCCCAAACCCCTAAACCTTAAACCCCTAAACCATGGAACCTCCAGGCCATGAAGGCTGCAGTCATGTCTGCCATTGATGCCGCACCGGGGGTGGAGGCCGAGAGTTGGACCCAACTCCTCCTAGCTAGGATAAGGGGGACCGGGAAACCTTCTTAACCCTCTTCTGGCTCTCTTAAACAGGGACCGTATTCAGAGGGTCTATGTCCCCAAGGGTCCCCCTAATCCTACCCGTACCTCCAGGGCTCTTGCTAAGGAACTTGAAAACAACAGAGGTGAGTTAGCTAATGCTTTAAGCTGTGTTGAGCAGTTCGATCAGAGTATTGGACAAGTCCTGAACCCCGAAAAAACGACATTGTTGACGAAGCGCCAAGCCAAAGCTGACCGTTTTCTTAGAGAAGTAGGCCGTCAGAGCTTTCGCCGTAAGAAAACAGTCAAGTCCTTGGGTTATACTCAGTCTTGCAGGCTCAAAGGCAGCGTCTCTATCCAAAACGAACGAGCTGCAAAGGCATGCCAGATGCTGCGAAAGATTGCCGTGTTACCCTTGACCCAACAGCAAAAGCAAATTCACATACATTCAAATGCTCACTCTAAATGGGTTTACGGTTCTGAAATACAAGCTCCCTCCGCGCGCGCCCTGCATAGCGTCCGTTCAGCTGTTGTGGCTTGTTTATTTAAGAAGAACCCTGTTCGGTGCCCCTTTTTGAGTATGGCTACCCATGCTGACCCCTTTCTCGACCCTTTTGGTAAGTGGGCTCTGCACTCATTTTGCAAGCTTAGAAAGATGATTCGGAAGCACCCCGGTCTTGCAGTGCGGGTTCTTGCTAATGCTCAGGGTCTGGCCGGCAAAGTGCAACAGACTAGCAATGGTGTAGCAGCCGTCTTTGCCTTTCTATGTCAGGAACTGCAATGGTCCATTCTTGATGCGGAAAACTTTGTTGTCCTTACCCCGCAGCGCGGAGAAATCTGCTTAGCAGCGGGAAGCTCTCAACACTTCAAGGATGAGCTCGGAGTTGCAGTCCGGACGTATCTTCTTCGAAAAGTATCATGTCGGCATGACTGCCAACTTTCATCAAACATCTCAGATATTGACATATTCTTGACCAGATTTCTTGCAGACTCAGATTTTCGAGCCGACAAGGACTTTGAGTTCTTAAAGCCCTTCCTACAACGACTGCCTTCAAATCATGCCCACACCCGCGCCATTTTGGACTTGCTTATGACAGGTGGTGTGTTTACAGGACCACGACTCAAAGCAGCAGACATGGCCCACACAGATGAATGCTGGTGCAAAGAATGCGCTGAAACTCATCAGCACCTGTTCATGGAGTGCCCGTTATATGCGAACACCAGACCTATCAGGGGTCATGAAGATGCAGTTTCGTGGACTGCTGGAGTGTTTTTCGCCCCCCATGAAGTCTACAAAGTAGGCAGGTTCCATGACTCTTTGCTTCAGTTTCCGGAGATATCAGAGACCTTCACAGTGGATGAGCCGATTTTTCTGGATGGATCTGCTTACCATGAAAACTGGGCAGCTTTACGTGCCGCCGCTTGTGCCGTTGTAATTCCAGATAAGTTGGACATCGCGGTGACTCTTCCTGGAAGAGATCTCACATCTCAACGTGCTGAGCTATATGCAGCTGTGTTGGCGCTGAAACTCACTTGTGGGCCGGTTACGCTTGTCAGCGACTGTGCAGCTGTTGTTAATAGGGCAACCTCTCTCAAGAAACATGGATATCGACGCGAGGATATTCTAAACTACGATAATTTTGACTTGTGGGCCGCGTTTCTTGATGAGGTTCACAAAAGGCTTGATTGCGATATCAAGTTCATCAAGGTGAAAGCTCATGTGCCAAGTGGATACACGGGGCAACCTTCGCACTTGACGCGTGGTAATGCTCTTGCTGATAGAAGTGCCAAACAAAAAGCCCGTGAAGCTTTCTTGGCAAACCTGCAGGAGCTCAAGCCTTTCATATATCGAGCAGTCGACATTCAAACGCATGCTGTGGCAACCTTGCTTGCGCGAAAAGATATGTCGCAGTTTGATATTGCCCCCGATCTTTGTAATGATAGGGCCTTGCAACCTTTCAGCAATGCGAAGTTATCGTGTACGTGTACCTGTCGCCCTGCTAAGCGTGTAACGGGCAAGAGCAAACCAAACTGCAGACAGTCCTGTTGCGTTATGCATGTCGGCAGGTTGGAGCAAGTGTTCTTAAATGCGGTTACACGTCAGCAAAATTTCGACAGTTCGATCTCTGAGAGGTTGTGGTCGCTCCATCCAGCCTTCCGAAGAGTGGTCTTTTTCAACGGTATTCTTAGTCCTCCCCTTCAACAGGTGCACTGTGGCATTGTTAAAATTAAGAGGGCTCCTATCTCCAATGATGCGCTTTCGGCTTTTTCCGCCTTTATTACTGATGGCCGATGGAAGTGGGGGACTAAGCATACACTGGATAGGACCACGTGGGTGGCCCTCGCAGTTGAATTTGTGGCGACATATGGCCTGTTTGCAGGGATATGTGATCACGAGATGACTGTTTGAATATTTGTTCGCAGATTCAAAGATGTCTTTCTACAAATTTTGGCCAAACATGGTGTCGCTGCTGAACACATTGTAGGTATTAGACACATGAAGTCATTCGGGTTCGGAAATCAGTCCGGACTCACTTGTTCGAGACAGTTTAACAATCATTCTAAGGTCTTGGCTTGGGTTCTTCGAGTCTCTGGTGACATAGCTTCCTTAGACCGCTGTGTCAAAGTTAAGCCGCTCGCTTCTATTGTTCCATGCTGGGATGGCATATCTCCTGGCCTGTGACGTGATGTCCCAACAGCAACTTTTCCCCGTTCCCTTTGCATGATTTGACCAGTGCTGACTGGTACTTGTCGACTTAGCAGGAGGCTCGTGAGGCTGATTGCAGATGTGCCCAAAAAGCTAAGGAACTTGAATGTAGGGCTATATGGGGTTACGAAAATAGGGGTACCCATTTTATACCCCAAATAGAACAGAATTCCTTAAAGGGACCCCTCTTTTCGGGCAACCCCCCTTTGGAGTATGGTTACGTAATTATTTCCCTTACAAGAATCCAGACACTTCTCCTGCAATTCGATGCAGGCACTGTTGCAGAACAGTTCATCCATCGGCGAGGAGCTGAGTCGTGTAGATGTCCATTGAAGCAGGAAAGCAGCCACCCTGGCTGTGAGTCTCGCGGCTTAGGCCACTTGCGGGGCACACTGTCCGTCCTCCTAGCCAGTGACATTCTCTTCTCCACGTCCACATCTCAGCACGCCAGGCGAAGAACCAGGAAGTGATGGTAATATAGCAATATAATATAGCTTATAGCAATCATATTTGACAATATAATGTAGTAGGAACACACAAAAATGTTAAGATGCTTGGGAGAGAGATCGTTGGCCTCGCCCGACCTAGATGCGACATCCTGCGGGAATGCATTGCCATGCATGGCTGAGGCTTGTTCCTGGCGGTCACATGCAGGAGCTAGCACAGAGATGCCAGGCTCGAAAGCCAATAGCCGCTCCTCTCAGCCTCAAGTGATTTCCGTTTTGAGCACACCCTGAAGGCATGAGAGGAAAAATTCGCCCACGCAAAACCGGCAGCAAGAAAAAGTTAAAAGATGTAAACAGCGCTGACGTTGTGGCACGAAGAGAACAAAGGATGCAAGTGTGTTAAGAACGATGTGACTGCGAAACAAAACCTCGTGAAGGCGTCAACACCAGGCTTAGATGAGTCAGGGTGTTTCTAGCTTTGGGGTGTCCTTCTGGGAGCAACAAACAACCTGGCTAGCTCTGTACAGTTGCGCCAAAGCTTTGCAGGCTTTCACTTTCCAGAGGCGTCTTACTGCACACGTTTGTCGCGCAAGCCTTGCATTGTGTGTGTGTGTCTTCCATCAGAAACGTGCCAAAGTTCGAAAAAGATATGTCTGTCACCCTAAAGAGTTTGGTTCCCACTTTGGTTTCCGACAAACTAGCACCGACTCCAAACCCATCGATGCAGAAGCAAAAAAAATGAGATGCCGTTTTGCAAGTCATTGTGCTTGTCTCAGACTTGTCTCAGACAGGTTCACATCGACATCGTTGCCGACGCATCCCTACCTGCTTCCCTGAGACAGGTGGTGCCATCCCAAGCTATCCCACGCCAGAGGCATGGACCACTTTTCTTGGCTCTTGGAGCTTTGGAGACGTGACGACTGCGTCTAGGTCTTGACCGGCTCACTGGCCAGCAACGCTGCAGCTGCCTACTGGCTCCAGGCAACCTGCTTCTGCATCCCCTAAACCCTAAACCCTAAACACTAAACCCTAAACCCTGAACCCGTCGTGAGTTTACCAGTGTGTAGGAATCAAGCTGACAACCGGAGGCATCCATGACCATCTATAGCAGGACCACATGACCAACACCTCGCGCAAATGAGGCAATTGCCCTATAATACTTAAAGGGTATATGTTGGAGGATACAAGGTACCTGATTCCCACATTCCCTATACTAAGAACCCTAATCTGTAAACAGCGTTCTGCTACTGTCCATGCCAGTGTGACAGGTCGGGACAGCTCGTCACCTTGCCACGGCCACGCCTTACGCGCCCAAGTGACAAAAAGCAGACACTGATGTGCGCTGCCCGCCCTCTTCATGTGGTGGTTTCCCCAACATAGAGAACGAGAGTACCTTTTTGTTTTTTTTTTTTGGGGGGGGGGGGGGGGGAATCCCTATGAAGGGGATCATACTATTATCATACTCTATTTGGGGTATTTAAGGGATACCCCGAGTTGGGAAACATGCCATGTGGCCAATGCGCATCAGCTCTAGTGACTCGATTGCTGCACCTTGCTCACAGTTGAGCACACCTGGCCGGCAGGTGCCAAAGAAACAGGAGAACTTCCAAAGTCATGAAGGCAGAAGCGTGAAACTGCAGGTTTTTAGGGTTTGGAACTGTGCCAGGAGTTTAGCCGCGGCTGTCCCTTCTGTGCCTAAGACCGTGCAGTTTGAGAGCTCGCATGAAGATAAGTCTCCTCATGACACGCAGCCACATGTAGAGCACTCTTGCTGTTGCCGCTGCCTCAGGGGCCGAGGATGACGGACTCAGCAGGCACCACCAGTCCACATGCATGGTCTGTGGTTGGCCGAAGATCATGGATAACATGAGCCGCATGACCCGTGCATGCACAGAGCTGATCAGAGCTGTATATATGCCTTGAGAAGACCGAGAACAACTCGTCACTACTCGTACCTGGTCATGCCGAGGGGCATGTAGTAGTTCTCCTGCCCATGCCTAACCAATGATGGTTAACACCTTGCATCTTCAGAGTATCAAAACATGCACATCTTCATATTGGATCTAAAGCTGCACCGTCCAAGAGCGCATGTGCAACAATGTAAAGCGTGCAAAAATGGATGTTCCAAGATTGCACGGCCAATTGAGTTCCAGGATGCATGTTTCAAAAGTGTATATCCAAAACGATGAGTTTGCAAACATGCGCGGTCCAAGAACACACACACACACACACACACACTCCTGAATGCACTCACGAAATTCACATCACACAGTCACACAGCACATCCAGAAAACGTGTCTGTTTGCCCGCCTTTCGGGGCCGGGGTAATTTTTTTGGGCCATGACGTGCTTGTTTGCGCAGACCTCGGTTTCGGGAAGTTTTTCTGGTTTTAACACTGCGAAAAAGAGCAACTTGTGCCCGTGCGCCGCCTCGGCAGTCGCCTTTCACGAACCTGTGAGGCTGCAGTTTCTTCAGTGCCCATATGGAAAAGCCCTTTTTTTGCGTGTTCCGAATGCGTGTCGGCCATGGAAGCTTGTGGTGCTGCCGCGCCATTCCCGACTGAGGGCCCATTGGCTTAAACTGTTTCGAGAACATTCGATGCTCGCCATGCGCCACATCGTGCCACCATAGAAGCATATCAGGGTCCGGCGGGGTCCCACCAGAAACTCCCAGTCCCCGGGTCCTGTCAGTCGTGCCTGCTAAGGCCTTGAGAAGGTTTGATACGGGAGCGTGTAGAAGGATTCCGAAAAGGTAGCAAAGGGGGAGCCAAAAGGCTTGCCTAAACCCTAAGCCCACTCCTACACCCCCCCAAGCCCACAACCCAAAGCCCACAAGAACCAGGTGGTCCATCGAGGGCTAAGGCTGGCAAAGGTCGGCATCTTATGGGAAGTGGGGGCGCGCATGTTTGAACCGTCGAAGGGGCCTGCGTGCTGGGTTTAGGTAGGGATTAGGGCCCCTCCCCCCCCCACCCACCAAAAACAAAGCCAGAAGTTGCTCCACATGAGGTGGAGAGTCCGTTCACAGTAGAGTTGGCAGCCTAGGCCATGCATTTCTTCTGAGCCGTCAGCTGATCAACGCACATGGATGTCATATTCGATGTGTCTGCTTACTAGGACCTTTTGTCTTGCGTTTCTGAAGCTGGAAGAAAGTGTGAACACCGAGTCTCGAGCTCGGGAACGCAGGTCGATGCTTGTACATAGTTCTGCTCACAGCTGCCACCTGCCATCATTGCGAAGCGCAGATTTTGGGAGCAGTTGCAAACCTCTGGGGGTTGAGCTCCCTCATTTTGTTTCTTCCCTGCGGAGCACCTTTGCAGGTGCCAGAATCTGCACACCATTGCACACCCCAAGGGCACGGCCTAGAGAGCTGGCATAGGCTTTAGACTTAAGGTTTAGGGAGTTCCTGTGAAGCAGCTTATGGTAACTTGCGAGCCTTGAAGTCTGGGACCTTTAAACAGAGCGTTTCGGCTCTGCAAAGCCGTCTGCGGCCATCATTCGGTGGAGAATAGCGGCTGTGCCCATTTGTTTTTCTTGCGCCTGGATCATCTGAATCTTTGTCAGCGCACTCGCGAATCTTTCAATGACTGCAACTAAGCCTGCTACTTGGCCTCTGTGGTTTACGGACGTCAACACACTAGAATGAATCTTCTAGACATGTGCTCGTACGTGCTTTTGCTCAGCAAGCTTCATGCGACTGCTGTGATCCCATGCGGCCACCTGTAAATAGCCTAATTCTGTGCCTGACGGAGCCTGCAAGTCTGTGCAGGCACAGTTCAGTCCTGGCACAGGAATCCTACCCGTCGAGACAGACATTAGCGACGAAAGGGAGCCCGGTTGCTTGCACCTTGGTTCGATGGTCTTCGATGCTTGTTTGGTGCGGTAACAGCTGCGAGATTCAGATATGCATGTTCCACGCACCCGGTCTGGATCAGTGCCCCGGGCCTGCACAGACGCGTTGATGAGTTGGCAGACTTCCCAGCGACACCTCAAACCAATTCTCGTGCCACCAATTTCAACCAGTCATCTGAAGATATTTCCGAAGCCACCTCCTCGTAGAATTCTTGCTGTGAGAAGTGCCTTGAGAAGCCAGGGCTGCTTCAGTTGCAGCGATGGCGCGTCTGGATACCTTCGGCCAACACAAGCGGACAATGGCAATGGCAATGCCGAATCTCTCAATCGTCCCGGGACCGCAACCTCAGGCGCCAACCTGAGGTTTGACGACTGAAGCTCCTGTAAAATAGGTGTTTAGAACCTATAGGTGTTCTCTTGACTTGCTGAGGTGCAGCAACCTTTGAGGCGCAACGCGGCGGTCCTTGGAGACATCACCAACACAGGCTCGCCTCTAGTAGACTTCAGGGTTTAGGGTTTGAGGAGTTCGCCACGTCCTGCTTCTCTCAGGATATGCCGTCAAAGTGGACAAGCCGGCGTTCGCACCTGCGAGGCACGTTTGATGCACATAGCTGCACCGTGGAACGCTGTAAAACCGCCGTGGAGGCCAAGAGCATACGATGAGAGCCAGGCTTTCGGGCCTGGCAACACGACAGTGGCCGGGGTGCCCAAGCCTGCATTGGCTTGCTCAAGTCGTTTCGCAAACGTTGCAAATGCTGTTCATTAAGGCCTGGGTCAGAGAGAACTCCCGCTTTGTCATTCCGGTGTCCGGCGATCACATGGACGCAGCCTCGTCACTGCATGTAGTGGTACTGTTGTTCGCACGGCTATGGCAGCTTTCGCCAGGACGTTGTCATGGAGGAGGAAGAGGACGGGGATCGGAAGATGCCCTCGATAGCTGATTCAACGCAAGCCGTGACGAGGACCCGCAGCAGGTGTCGGAGTACTCCAAAGACATATTTGAGCGAATGTTCTCCATGGAAAGATCGTTCCAACCCAGGCCCAGACAGGACGAAGACCTGGTTACTAAGTCACGGGTATGAGGATTGCGTCTGTAGCAGCAAGGGAGCCTTGCGGCATTGCTGAAGGTGCCATTTTCTAGCCGAGCAGCGAGAGATCAACACAAAGATGAGGGCGATTCTCGTAGACTGGCTGGTCGAGGCGGATGCCCTGCAGGATGCATCGAGGACTGTTTGGCACGCTAGTGCTCGCTTGTTTGCAGGTTCACATGAAGTACAGGCTGAAGCCAGAAACATTGTTTATGGCGGTGAATGTCATAGACAGATACCTGTCCATGAGGCACGCTTTCTGACGTTCCAGCTGTGTGAGCTAGGGGCTAGGGGCGCGCTGCATGCTGCAATTCGGACATGTGCTACTAAGTGGTGTAGTGAATCCCAGATGGGAAGGCAAGTGGCGCGAAAGAAGCTTCAGCTTTGCGGCGTGACAGCGCTCCTGATCGCCTCGAAGTTTGAGGCTGCGAATCTCTGCGGATGAATTTTTGAGACCGTCCCAAATTGCAGCCCGAGCTGTTCACACAGTTTGCTCCTGGCAGGAGATCTACCCACCAGAGGTTAAGGACTTCGTGTACATAACGGACAATGCGTACACCAAGGACGACATCCTGAGAATGGAGGTCGTCGTCTAGTGGGGGGGCGCCCGAAACCCTATAAACCCTATAAACCCTATAAACCCTATAAACCCTATAAACCCTATAAACCCGAAACCCTAAACCCTAAACCCTAAAACTCGATGTTCATTGTGAGGGCTTCAGCGACCAAGGTGTCCATCCTCTCCACTCTCAACTTTGAGCTTTGCGGCCCACTCCTCAGCCAGGCAATGCTATGGGGGGGTTTCCGAAAATAGGGGGTACCCCTTTGAGGGGGCTTCTCTTGAGGGATTTTCGTGTAGTTGGGGTTTTGGGGTATAAAGAGGGTACTCCCCATTTTGGGAAATACCCTTTGATCCCTCCTTGGAGCCACCGGAATCTACATCCTTGCAACTCCCTAGGCCTTTTCAGTGTTTTTGGGGGCCTTGTGTTCTCCTCTCGACATGGGGATGTTCCTCCTTATACTAACAGTCCTTAGTAGGCTGTTAGAATCAGGATCCCAAACTTTACGCTTATACTTATCTTATACTATTCTAGCTGTGGGGGTCGGAGAACCTGGGCAGAGCCTCCGAGGTCCCACAGCAGCCCATTTCCTGGACCGCTACCAGCGTGCCAACAAATGCAGCGAGGAGCGCATCCAAGTGCATCCAGCGTCAAGGGTTGCTATGCTTGAGGGGCTCTCTTGTGCACCAGGAGCATGCACACTTGATGCAATACTTGGCTGAGCTCTGCTTGCTGGAAGTTCACATGGTTCAATACGTGACTGGAGCTCAGCAGCTGCTTTTTCTGCACTTCTTCGGCTTCGCGCCATCACAAACCTCGAGGCCATCACTGGTCGCTGCTGCATCGGCATTGCTGAGCGCAGGGCTTACTGACTCTTACTCTGCTTAGGGTTTAGGTTTAAGGTATAGGGTCTAGGGTTTAGGGTTTAGGGTTTAGGGCGCAGTGATCGTGGAAAGAGTTCAGTATACGTAGCAGGCAACAAGCTTCTGCGTCAGCATCCGGCGTGGCCACCGTTCTGCACTCAATGGCTGACAAGTGGCAAAACTGCTTTCTTTTAACCTCTATGAACCATAAACTGCCACAGTTCCACCCTAAACCCTAAACCCTAAACCCTAAACCCTAAACCCTAAACCCTAAACCCTAAACCCTAAACCCTAAACCCTAAACCCCTCTTGTGTCCGGTGCGGCAGCTCCTGCAGCTCCGGAGTGAGGTGCCTTGCGCAGATCACCCAGACGCACTCCGAGGCAGAGGTCAAGGCACGCCTTGTGCCAGTGGCGGAGGGGGGGGAAGAGAGGGGGGGGGGGTGGCATGCAGAATGTCTGTGGTTTAGGGTTTAGAGTTGGAGGTATGTCTGTGGTTTAGGGTTAGAAGTAGGTCTGTGGTTTAGGGTTTAGGGTTAGACAGGCATGAAATCCTGTCAGTCACTCGACGTGCTTCAGGCCTGTAAGCCCTTGGCATCATTAAAGATCTGTTCTTAAATGCGCGAGGCATGCGCGCGCGAGATGTGCGGACTGCTCGACTCAGTGGAGAAGACGCCTGTCCTTCAAAGTAGGTCGACCGTAGGTCATGATGGCCCACGACTCTGTCGCTAGGCAGTTAACCCTAAACCCTAAACCCTAAAACCCTAAACCCTAAACCCTAAACCTCTCTCGTTGTAAGGAGCTCCCTCCAAGCGATCCGCAAGAAGTACTCACAGGAGAAGTTCAGCAAAATCGTGTCGCCCCGAGTTGCTCGGGGAGTGATTCACCAGTCCTAAGCCCAAGGAAAGCCCTCCACAAATAATGCCAACAATAATGATAAGAATATTTAATAGTAATAAGAAAATAGAATAAGAAGAATAATAAGAACAACAAGAATAGTAATAATTGAAAATAGCATACTAATCATAAGAATGAGGCGACTACTGGCAGGAGGTTCTGGACGTCCGGATTCCCAGAATCGCATGCGATGGCAATATCGAACCTCTAGAAGCGTCCGTGCGGGCAACCAGGACCTACGTAGGAGGTGCCTCTTTTGCACACCTGCACTCTTGACTCCTGGCTAAGACAAAGCTGACCTCCAAAAGCCAGCTCCACGCAATTCGCATGCAAGCGGTGACGATTTTCGATCGGCGAAGCCGCTCCTTTACATGCCCGACCCTATGCAATTCGGTGCCGCCCCCCTAGTTCTGGATGTCCTTGCTTCAAGGGCATGCTGCCTTGCCTGTTATGCTTCCCATGTTTGGGTAGTTCTCTAAGTTCGAGCCGAGAGTTTTTGGGCCCCTTTACAGAATACGGCCAGCCCACAGAATGAGGACCTCTTAATTTGGACAACTACCCATTGCCTCAACTCGCCTATCAAGATTTGTGTCGGCAGCTTAACAGGCATAGTGCGGCAGCAACACGTCAGGCTGAGAAGAGCCCAGACATAATTTGTTTATGGCCATGACATAATTGGCCGGAGCTACACCAATTAGCCTTTGCACACTAGTCACTAAGTCACTAGACTAGGCCTTAGCTTAGACTTGAACCCTATTGAAGGGAAAGTGCTTCATCCTTCCATACCAGCGAAAATGGGATAAGCCTTGGACGCTTTTGAACTTCGCGATGCATCGATGCGCCTCTTTAAGCCCTAAGCCCTAAGCCCGAAGCCCTAAGCCCTAAACCCTAAGACCTAAGCCCTAAGGCCTAAGCCCTTAAGCCCGAAGCCCTAAGCCCTAAGCCAGCTTGACTCA